ATTATAATAATCAGAACCACTGGGATGATTATACTAGGGCAAAAGCCCTACAGGAAATAGGAAAAAAGCCTCTCAATTGGGCTGAGTTCCAAAAGACCACACAGAGGGACAAAGAGACCCCTGATGCCTTCTGGGTCCGCCTCTTAGAGGCCGGAACCGCATATGCACACTTAGACATAGGCTGCTCAAAGGATAAGAACATTCTTGCAGCCGCTTTCGTTAACCAATCTGCAGGCGATATCCGGGGGCACTTCCACAAGATAGTCTCCAACTGGTCCACCTTAAATATCTCAGAGTTGCGCAGGATTGCAAACTTTGTATTTGACCAGAGGGAAAGGCGAGCAGAAGAAGAGAGAGAAAGGAAGGAAGTGGAACGAGAAAGGGAGAAAGAGAAAAGACGCAGAACGGAAAGGAGGGAGGATTTGCAAGCTTTTGCCATGATAAATAGGGAAAGTGGGAGCAGATATCATAAACCTATCTCAAGGGAAGCAATGTGCCAGCGGTGCGAGACTGAGAGACAACCCTTTTGCCGGCATTGTTTCCGTTGTGGTAGGGAAGGGCATCTTATGAGATACTGCAGGGAGGAACCGGAGAGGAACACCTGGAACCAACGTCACAAGCCAAGGCCCCCCTTCTCTCCTCTGCACTTTCCTGAAGAACCATCTTTCTGCAATAAACTGTAACCTTCTTCCCAAAGCAGTCACCATGTTTGCTTATTTATTCCCGGCTTGGATGAACCAGGAGGAAGACTTTACTTCTAACATTAGGAAGGTTTTTTTTTAGAAAATACTAAGACATCACATCACATTTAATAAGGTAATATATTTAAATTCCCTCTACAATATTTATCCTTTAAAAAAAAAGTGCTTATCTCCCCCCACAGAGGGACTCTGGGCAGGGTACAAGTAAAAAATATTAAAACATAAAAAGTCTGGGAAATTCACAATTTAAAAAGGCACGGTTGGATTAAAAAATATTAAAGTTAATTGGGAGGTGGAGGAGGGCTTTCCGAGTGCCAGCCAGCCTCGCAGCTGTGTGCTCCTCTGTGAGCCCCAAGCAAAGTCACAGAGCCATGTTTTTACACCTTTCTGAAAGGCCAGGAGAGTTGGGGCCCACCTTAAGTTGGTTTTGCCACAGGAGGATTCCAATTAAGTCATAACTAAATACCTTTGCAATGAAGAGGATTTAACATGGCAATTATTATTTTTTACATTTTAGAGGTATTTCTTATGTATAATGAACACCAATAGTGAGATAGACTGCATATACATTTAATAAATAAAATAAACAGATAAATAACCTTGTCATGGTACCTCATTAAAACAGCAATGGTGGACAGCAATAACCTCTGGAAAAAAATAAATAGGTAATATGTTAAAGCTTCTTCCTACAGTTTTGACACATTTCCTGAAGGCCAAGCACTAATAAAAGAAAAAAGCTTTGTTATTTATTGACAGATGAATTATACATGAATTATATACATTGTACAGGTAGTCCTATTTAGTGACTGCCTCAGACAGTAACCATTTGCAGTTATGATGCTGATGAAAAAGTAACTTTGCAATCAATGCCCACATTTATGCCCTTCAGTGTATCTCTCAGTGACATGTTTGCATTTACAGTTCGCACAAGTTGTCCTGTGCCTGACCCATTTTTTCCTCCCCCATCCCCAGTGGAGAGATTGCTTAAACAAGCTATTTCTGAACTGCTTTTCCCAGCGCAGCACTGCCTAAAAAAAGAGCTAACCGCAAGTTAACAAGTTGAGTTCTGTGACCTTAATTAGTTGATTGGAATTGTTAGAAGTAAGGTCTTCATCCTGGTTCATCCAAGCCGGGAATAAATAAGCAAACATGGTGACTGCTTTGGGAAGAAGGTTACAGTTTATTGCAGAAAGATGGTCTTCAGGAAAGTACAGAGGAGAGAGAAGGAGAGCGAGAAGGAGAGATTGAGCACATGGGCAGTAGGTTTTATACCCCCCCTAGCCCTTTGTTTGGAATAGTTTCCTGTTCCTGTGGCATGAACCTTGAGGCTGTTTCTGAGTGTTTGTCTAGGCCTTGATATCCGTGGTTTAATTCTATTATCATATCCTGCTTCCCAGGTGATGGGGCTGATTCCTAGAGTTTGGGTGGGGTATGCAGATCTTCTCTTTTGTCTTCTTCATTGCTCTGGCTCCAACTTTCTGATGGTTTTACATTTGCATTTGTATGGGCCTAGCTCTTGCTTGGGGCAGAGAGATAGATTTGGGGCCAGGTTTGGTTTTAAAAAGTCCTTTTGAGGAAAAATATATTTTTCTGCCCTTTTTAATATTTCCTTCTCTGGGCTAACTTTCATCAGAATACTCTGCTGACTGACAAGCTGATGCTTGCAATTGACTGAACCCTAATCAGTTTCACGTTAAAGGCTTTTGTTTGCCTCCTAAGTAGCTGAGGGCTTAGAGCTGCCAGCTGCTAAGTAAACAGCCAGCACCTTGCCTTTGGTGTATATTCCCCATTGAGTAACTGTTTACTCTCTTGTAATCTCATCTGCTCCAAGGAATATAAATACAAACGCTAATTCCATTCTTGCTAATTGTCCCAGCACAGAGGTGAGCATTCCAAAAGGTGGGAAGTCAGGAAAAAGGGCTATAAGATTTGTCCTCTTACTCTGCTTCTTTGTGAGTCAAATTTTGGAAAGCTTCCCTGCCATTTTGACCTACCTCGTGTTTGGGGTCATAGTCTTCTACTTTGTTAAGGTCCTAGCCTATAAACTAGGAGATTGTGAGTTCTAGTTCCAGTTTATGCATAAAAGATGGCTGGGTGATTTCAGTCACTTTCTCAGCCCTCACCTCACAGGGTTGTTGCTGTGAGGAAAATAGGTGGCGGAAGGAACATTATGTATATTCACTGATTTGAATTACATATAAAATAATGGTGGGATAAACTATTAAATCATAAATAAATCATAATCAGTCATGGTTACATGATTTTTCATTCATTTAATTCACTTAATTACCAAATTCCTGGTCTCAGTTATGGTCACTACACAAGAACTACCTGCATTGCTAAATAAGGATCATTCCTTAAAATATAAGACAGGTGAAAACCATGTTATTCTCATAGGAGTGCAAAAATAGCCAGGTAGCGGTCAGGGCAGCATGATTGAAGCCATATCCCCTTTTCACAGGAAAGCAAAGGAAGCAGAACTTTGATCTTTCTGCTGTGACTGTCATCTTGCCTTTTTTGAACCCCTTCCCCACAGGCACTGTACAGTCTGATTTGTATTGAATTATTGCTATTAGTTTACCCTTGTGATTGTCCTAAACAGCATGACTTAAGTAAAGACTTCTTAATTCAAGCTATTGGGGGGGGGGACATACCAGGAGTTGTAAACATCTGGGAATTCTGATCTTTGGCAATTCCAAAATGACACATAAATTTGAGAGTTGATAACAATGTCCCATATTCTGGCTTTCTTCCTTTGGCATCAATCTGATGCATTTAAAGTTAAAATGAATGGCAAGGTCAGGATTTAACAGATTGTTTTGCCTCTTGCAAAAAAGTAAAAAGTAAAAATGTGAAGCACAAATCTCTGATGCAGTCATTTGTTGTTAAGCAGCTGAAATAGGTCATAGTGCCTAGAGCAGTCAGTAAACTTTTAAAGCTGCATTAGCTTTTACATGAGCCACATTACATGCTGGGGTAGACAAAAAGCTTTTACGCACATATGTACATCCAAGGTAGTGAAGTTATACTGTATAATCAAAGTACAATAAAAATATTTTAAATTGTAAACATTAAAAGGAAGTGTTAGTATGTACTATTTAAAATATGTAACATTCAAAGTTTTGTAAATTGAGGGGTGGAATTCCTTTTATTTGTATTTATTTTGTTTAGGCAGTTGGCAAGTTGTGTCAACATAGGTTAATGCAGTCTTTCTCAAACTTGAACTTAAACTCTCAGAGCTCACTGGCAAATTGAAAAGTAAAAAGATATATAAAAATGGAAAGCGGGGCTTGTAACTACACAATAGTGGCCACTGTCTAGTGTTCAGCTGATTGGAGAAGTCCACACATTTTAAAGTTGTGATAGTTGAGAACCACTGGATACTGTTTTTGGTATTTGTGATTTTGCTGCACAAGCCAAGACCTTAATTAATACAATAATTATTCTGATTGAATGCTGATAGAAAAATAACTCCAGCATTTCCAGATGACATCATCCCATTCATTTTTTAAATGAAGGGGAAAGAGGACAAGCAATGCAGGGAAAGATCTTAATGCAAAATAACACCTTCATGTTTGTTTTCTTTAAATATCTATGTTGATTCAGCCTGAAAACACTTATCCTCCTGAGTTAATGAACATTGGATTGCTAATATAAAAGTAAATCAACAATAATTACTGAATACCCTAATAATGTTACATCCTAGACCAGTGGTCCCCAACCTGTGGGCCATGAGGGGATTCCAACTGGGCTGTAGAAATGGCCGGCAAGTGCACATGCGCATCCTCACTTGTGCCAGCAGCGAGCAAGCTCATGTGCACACACTGTATTTACGTGAGTGGCAGATGCCCATGCATGACGTTTGTGCGGAACCATTCCTTCCCCTCCACCAGTCTGCAAAGCTGGAAATGTTTGGGAACTCTGCCCTAGATTATATGTGCAGTAAGGCATGTAGTTTTACCTACAGTATTACATTTTAACAACTACTTCCTCTTCTTAGTTTGTTTAAATTGATTTCCTTCAAAATTCTTTGCTTTCCAAATTGTTTTCCAAAATTTTCTTTCTTCTGTGACATGTTCTTTTGTTAAATATATCCTAGGACTGAGAATCTTGAATTCAGTAGAAATATGTGTGAAAATATTTAATTTCTTTTTCATAAACAAGAATATCTTCAACAATAGTAACTATATTGTAGAGATGTTGTATGCAGAAGTGCTGCTTAGCAACCAGTGTAGCTAGGAATATCCGTCCTGCTGTATTAACAAAATAAAGCTTTTTAAAACAGCAGCAACTGTAATTATACAGAGCATCATGAAAAGAACCAACTTTCATATAACTGATAATTTTGTATGCCACCATTCTAATTAACAACGAACAGAATTTCTCTTCTATTTGGACTACAATCAATACAGGATGAGGCAGGATGAGACTAATCTCCTACAGAGGTGATTCAATATATCTGATTAGACTGATTGCACTAAACTGTTAGGAAAAGCTGATATGGAGGGATGACCTATATTTTAAGGCGTGTTTGTGAGTGCTTTCTATTTGAAATTTTTCTTTAAGCACCATCAGTATTATAAATCTCAGCTCATATTTTACAACTAAAAAGAAAGCACTGCAATATTTGTTTTTAATATTCTTTTGCTTTTGACAAATTATTTATTTCTTGTCTGTGTAAGAGCTTTCTCTTAAAATATAGGAAACTTTTACTGAATTCCCTATATTCATCAAGTAAAAATTAACCACATTCCAAATGGTTTCTAACATTTCTATAAGATTGTGCCTGTTTAGCATCTCTTCAGCGTCAAATAGATTAAACAAATATGTGAATTGAGTGCTTACCTCTTTAACTGTTCTCAGGCTACATATTGTTATAAAATTTCAGGGGTGTCAATACAACAGTACTACTTTGATAGATAAATAAATATATTGATTATTTACAAATAATCTAGGGCACAGGTGTCAAACTTGCCACATCACATGACGTGTTGCGACATATCATGACTCTTTTTGCATTGCCAGCAATGGGGTGGGCGCGGCTTCGGTATGATGAAACTGGTCTGTGGGCCGGCAGTTTGTCACCCCTGATTTAGCTAAAATGTTAAGACAGCCAAGTGTAGGAATGGATATAAATAATAAATCCTGCAGCCACTGAAATAACAAAGAGTTGTATTTAAGAATTAAAAGGTGCCTACCACAGAGCAATCATAATAAGCAGTAATGATTCAATTCAATACATACATTTCTGAATTAAAATTAAAAAGGCAACTCACTTAATTGTGATTAACATCTTTACTTGCATTTGTTGTTGTAAATTACAACTGAACCATTGTTGTGAAATAGAGAGAAAAGCGCAATGGAAATTATGAAAAACAGAAAGATGGCATTGTTTTTAAAATGACCAAAGATAAGAACTTGAAATAGATAATATGAATCCTATTCTCTGCTTATATTAAAAATAGATCATGTAGATCCAGAATAGCTAGCAATGAACCCAATCCATTTCTCTGCAGCAAAGGGGGAAAAAAGGAAATTTAGTGACTCCAGTGACTTGCTGGATATCAGCTGCCTTTGGTTCTCCCTTGCCTTTCTTTTCATCTAGCAGCAGCAGAGAAACAAAACAGGCGGAGCCCAGTTCATGCTGAGACTCTGCTGAAACATTTGCTGTCTTTAGCTCTTCATTTTCCTCAGCGCCAACTCATATTTAAGATGTGGAGTGAGGTGGCATAGCAGCTAAACCTAATTAGTAAGTTAATTCTGACATAAATACAGATAGAGAGAATGTGACTTTCACGGGACCTGACACACACGCTCTGCCAATGAGACCTTATTCCTGAGTCCAGGAAATTGACCACATATTCTGACCAGGAAAGCAATGACCAACTAGATTTCAAATAACGCTGCAACACAATTATCTTCCTCCAGTCATAGCTTTACTGGAAAGGCTTTTGTTCAAGCTGATACAAAAGGATATTTAACCTCTTCTTGCAAGTTTAATGTAAAATATAACTTTAAAAACTGAGAGTCACTAATGCATCTAAGCTAACTTAGAGTTTGCTTTGATCACTGCTGCATTTTCTGATCCTCCCCCAAATATTAAAATTGAAGTCAGATGTCAGGGTTTTGACTACTCCTCTATATAAATAGTCAGCTATTATTAAATGCCAATGAGCTTAACTGTATCTGGACCCAGTTGACAGCTTCCTGCTGCTCTGTTGTTTACAGAAGACTATAGAATTCAAGCGTAGTTTCTCAACTGATATCATCCATAACACACTCTTAAATAAGAAAATATTATGCCAGTGGGAAGATGCATTCAGACAACTGGAGCTGTTATAAAAATAAGAGAAAATTGAATTATTTCTTTCTTAATTCCATTTTTGTAGCCATTCTATTGTATCCAATTTCTCTTCCAGAGCATTTCTAAAACTTAAATCTCAGCTGCTTCCTCTTGACAGGGTCCTTTGGAAATAGCACTCAGCACAAATATAGATGTTCTTTTATTTTAATGAGCTTAACTGTTTCACACTTTTTTGACAAAAAGACTCATAATACATTTTGATCAATATTATTTCAAACAATATTATATTTATGTTTTAGTGAATTCAATTTTCTACCATTGAGGCAAAGTAGAAAGAAAGGAAAACAAGCAAAAGAAATCCCATTAATGATATTTAAATACCTTCTCAAATCCTGCTCTCATGCATTTCATTATCAGCATCTTTTAAGGCTTGTTCTCCTATCCCAGTGTTTCCCAAACTTGACAATTTTAAGGCATGTGGACTTCAACTCCCAGAATTCCACGGCCAGCAACGCTGGCCGTGGAATTCTGGGAGTTGAAGTCCTCATGCCTTAAAATTGTCAAGTTTGGGAAACACTGTCCTATCCCAATTAACATTCAAACCACTCTTAAGATCTTAAATTTCCCTGTGACTAAAGAGTACATGGAGATGTTGATTTAGTCATCAGCTGCTTGATATGAATAAGTTCATTACACGTAAAATACAAATGAAAGCTAAGATATTAAGCAGCACTGAGTTTATTATTCAAAATAATATATGTGTGCTGCATTTTTATACTATTTCCTTGTTCTGAACTATGAAATTGTGTCAGAAAGTTCTTTTCTTAAACCTCAGGGAAAGAAGCAATTTATTCTGCTCTTTAAAGGGTCCTAACACATCCAAACTGCTTTAGAAGATCTTTAAAATAACCTGTAGAATACAGATAGACATTGATATATATATATATATATATATATATATATATATATAAGATGCCAGATCTCATACATGTCATACAACCCGCCAAGGTTCCATCAAAAAAAAAAAAAAAGGTGCTGGAACTCCGTTCTGGGCATTCTATGACAAAAAAAGCCCTGTAGATAGAAGTATACAAATTGTAAATAAAGAGTGGATAACCTAGATCTGCAGAACTAAAATTTAAGTAAAAATGGAAGAGAAACACAGGTGGTAGAAAACCAGAAAAAAAAAACTATGGCAATGACGGAAAGGAGGAACAAAGCAGGAAGCTGAAATAAACCGGACAATGGGAGAAAATCCTAATGATCAGTTCACGCATGCTATCTTGAACCCTCTGGAAGAAAGGCAAACATTCAGATATAATACAAAGATAACCAAATATAGTATGAAGGTGCTTTACTAAACAAGACACATACTATTCTAATGTGTGATGCAAAATGGGGAAAACCACACATAAAGAAGCACTGGAGTCTTGTACTAACCTCATATGTAAATGTATAAGATAATTGTTTTTCAAACTTGGCAATTTTAAGGTGTGTAGACATGCTGGCTGGGAAATTCTGGGAATTGAAGTCTACACATCTTCTTAAAGTTACCAAGTCTAGGAAATTGGTTAACACATGAGCTGCAGTTTATGTGCAGTAGCAGTTTATGAGTGTGACAGTTAGAAAGATACATAGGTAGCCATCCAACCCCATTCGTTTTATATACTTTTCCATTAGGACAGACCCCTGTAGCAGTGTTATGTAGAGCAAAAATAATCACCTGGTTGGGCTATACCGGTGTTTCTCAACCTTGGCCACTTTAACATGTGAACCTGAAACGTAACTCCCAATGGACCAACTCCCTTTCTGAAGAAGAAGAAAGTCATTTGCCCCACCCCATCAGTTAATACTGCTACTAAAAATAGTTTCTTTTTTGTATTACACCATACTTGATATTGTTCAGTCTGGAATATATCCAATTACAACTGATTCAATAGGATTTGATGGCTCATATTACATAAGAGATGCAGAACCTAATATTTTATGATTAATCAAATCCCATTAGATCAGCTGTAATTGAATATATTCCAGGTAAAGCAATATTAAATGTGGTCTGCTACAAAAAGCTGAAAGTTGCCTTCTAATGGTATAAATGGAGAAAAACGTTAAACTTATAAATAATTAAAATTTTGATTTCAAAAACAATTTAGTTTTTGTCCTGGCTCTTCTCATTTGTTGATTCTAAGTTTAAAATTGGTCCCTTAGCTCAAAAAAGGCTGTGCATCCCTATGCTAACTGCAGTTGTTCTGATTTTGAAAATGTTTCAGACCTTGGGCAAGCACAGCATCTCTATTGGTATTCATTAAAAAAGTCCTCTGTCCAAAAACCTGAACAGAAAAGGTGTGGCTGCTTTAAGGAATCAGTTTATTAACATTACTGGGCATTTCAAAGCAGCCACACCTTTTTTCAGGGCAATAGAAGTTCTCCCAGGATCTGGACTATGGTAGTTGGAGCCCCTTGTGAGTTTATTCAATTTTTCAATCTCATCTTTAAGTGTAACTAATGGTGGCAAACACACCTAATACTCCTTCCTCCTGCTATTTTCCTATTTAAAGAAAGAATAACTGGCCCAAAGTCACCCAACCACAATCATGCCTAAGGTAGGACTAGAATTCACAATGTCCTTGTTTCTAGCCTGGTTCCTTAACTATTAAACTAAACTGGTTAAAGACTATTTTGTTACTTGCTTTTTGCCTTATTTATTTTATTGGGGTTTTTAATAGCATGCTTTTATGGTTTTTACATTGTGAGCCACCCAAAGTCATTTTGAGTTGGGAAGCACCTAAATCAAAAAAATCACATTAAAATTAAATAGAAATGTGTTGGTCTATCTGCTTTCCTGAGAAGCAGGCATGTTAGACAGATTCATGTAAGGGTCATGCAAGGATTCTATGTTGGGTAAGCGTGGGTGGTTTGATCTTCTTGTACTATTTCTGTTCGTTTTAGTGTATGTGTGTGTAGATATATGTGCATCATTTGTGTTACATGATAATATAAGTTGCAGTTACCTATTTTATCTAATTATAAGAAAAAAACCTAACTGATAAAATTAATAAAACAGTGGAATAGATTCCTACAAAGGTTGTGAGCTTTCCATCTATGGAGTTTTAAAAAAAAGCTGGAGGCTACCTCTCATAGATGGCTTAAATAGTTTTCTTATACAATAGAGACATTATATTAGATTATCCTTTGACCCCTTCCAACTCTACAGTTCAATGATTCGATGAAATAATGCACACAACTGATTTTAAATGTAACTAATTTTTTTTTTCCTTTTTTAAACTAATTGTTATTAAGAATTTTATTAATAATTTAAAGTACAATAGTACTTAGCTCAACTTGAAGGCATTAATACAATGTTGAACACTTATATATCTGAAATAAATTTGTGGCAGTTTTCTTTTTCCTGGATTTTTAACAATCTTGCCTTATTAAGAATTGTTGGAAACTCAAAACCTTGTATGTTGTTTTGAACCTTCAGTTGGCCTAACACAGCGGTTCTCAACCTGTGGGTTGGGACCCCATTTGGGGTCGAATGACCATTTCACGGGGGTCACCAAGCAACACAGTCCGCCATTTTTCCCCCTTTTCCTTAGCTGTGCTACTCCCTTTTATTCTATTGGCTTTTGAAAGCAATAGAATAGACTCTCTTGAATAGAGTCTAATTCTATTGGCTTTCAAAAGCCAATAGGAATTGTCCAGGCTGTCTCTGCCCTGCTGAGCCTGCCAAAAGTCCCATTCTGCAAACGGTGCTGCAAGTTGTCTGCAGCGAAGGCGAGCTGTCTGGAGGTTTCCATCCCTCCCTGCTGAGCAACTACTAAAAATGTAAGTAAAAGAGGGCCAGGGGTGGGAGGTGGGAGGCCGGTGGATGCAGGGGGGTTGCTGGTGCACGTGGGGCCTGGCAGGTGCCTTACCTCCCTTGGGCTGGGCCAGCTGGTGGGCCAGCCGGTGGTCGGCCTGCTCCATCTCTGCTGCTTGCCAGCTACGCCTCAGCCGGCACAGGGGGCGGCATCACGCATGTGCGGCGCTCCCGGGCAGGGAAAGTCCTTGACTTACAACCGGTTGGGTAGTCCTCAACTTACAACCGGTTGGGTAGTCCTCGACTTACGACCAATTGGCATTAAAAAGGTTGAGAACCACTGGCCTAACAAATGCATTGCCATCATAATGAATGATGTTGTTTACAGTTATGATTATTACTATTATCATTATGACTATTATAATTCAGAATGGCAGAATATTATAATTATATCATTCTTTTCATTAATGTTCAACATAGAAAAATAAGCTATTCAGTTCCAAATGAATTATAATTTTTACATTGTATTCTACATTTATCAAGACTACATTAATCATTAACTGAATTTAAAGTTGGTGGGTTTTCTTCTATGTTCTTTTAACCAAAACATTTACAAACCTAGAACATATTATTTTCTCTGTTAGACAAAATCCAAATGAGCAGGCTATGAAACTCAGTCTATTGTTGTTTCCAAATTTGCCCTCTAGAAATGGCTCATTAAATTGATTCACATTTTTTTCTACTAACTCAAGCTTGGCTCATTTAATCAAGGAAGTCTCTCCATTGGACTGGGCAAGGAAACCCACTGTTGGGAAGGTAATTCAGTGCTTAGAGAAAGGGAAGATAGAAGAAATTCAGACATTTCTTTCTCAACATCCCTCATCTTCTTTCTTATGGGATCAACACAAATTAGTGATAGTGTAATAGCTTTCTTCTGCTGCAAGTCCTCTGGTTTTAAATAGGCTTGTATTGAATGAATTGATGTTTGTTTAAAATGTTGATGCCATTCCATGGCTATTTGTTCAAAATATTTCAGTGCTATACCTTAGATAAGACAGACAAGATTCAGAAACTGAATATGCAAGAAAGGAATAGGAAATTATGAATTCAATATAACAAAAATAGGTAGACTAATAAGATAAAACTAGCAAGATTGAAACAGTTACTCAAAAATAACTGTAGTGCAAATATATAACTCAGTGGTTCTCAACCTTCCTAATGCCGCGACCCCCAACCATGTGGTCGTAAGTCGAGGACTACCTGTATTTCCCTGTGGGCAGGACAGGAGGAGGCGTGCACGTTCCGCCTCCTCTCCTGTGGCTGGAGTGCACGCTGGGCCGGCCGAGGGTGCATGCAGGCCATCGCCCAGCAACCGCCTCGGCCCGGGAGCGCCACACATGCGTGGTGCTGCCCCGTGCCGGCTGAGGCGTAGCTGGCAAGCAGCAGCGATGGCGCAGGCCAACCACCGGCTGGGCCACCAGCTGGCCCAGCCCAAGGAAGATAAGCCACCCGCTGGGCCCCACAGGCGCCAGCAACCCTCCCTGCACCTGCCGCTGCTCCGCTAGCCTTTCCTTGGCCACCGCACATTTGGTGCGGCGGCAGGCAGGCCCAGGTTATCCTGGGCGGCCATGGCATGCGGCGATGGCGCAGGCCAACTACCTGCTAGGCTACCAGCTGGCCCAGCCCAAGGGAGGTAAGGCACCTGCCGGGCCCCACGCACGCCAGCAACCCTCCCTGCACCCGCCGCTGCCCCGCTAGCCTTACCTTAGCCACCGCACATTCGGTGCAGCAGCAGACAGGCCCAGGCGTTCCTGGGCGTAGCTGGCAAGAGGCAGTGACGGCGCAGGCCGACCACTGGCTGGGCCACCAGCTGGCCCAGCCCAAGGGAGGTAAGCCACCTGCCGGGCCCCACACGTGCCAGCAACCTTCCCTGCGCCTGCCAGCCTTCCACCTCCCACCCCTGGCCCTCTTTTACTTACATTTAGTAGTTGCTCAGCAGGGAGGGGTGGAAACGTCCAGAAAGCTCGCTTTAACTGCAGACAACTTGCAGCACTGTTTGCAGACTAGGACTTTTGGCAGGCTCAGCAGGGCAGAGACAGCCTGAACAATTTCTATTGGCTTTTGAAAGCCAATAGAATTAGACTCTATTCAAGAGAGTCTATTCTATTGGCTTTCAAAAGCCAATAGATTCTATTGGCTTTCAAACACCAATAGAATAGACTCTATTCAAGAGACTCTATTCAATAGAGTCTCTTGAATAGAGTCTATTCTATTGGCTTTCAAAAGCCAATAGAAAAAGAGGGAGTAGCACAGCTAAGGAAAAGGGGAAAAAAATGGCCGACTGCGTTGTTTGGCAACCGTGAAATGGTCATTCGACCCCAAATGTGGTCGCGACCCACCCCCTATTTAAAGAAACAGCCACATCAAGTTTTTTTAAGAAAGAAGAAATATTATTTTATTCAGTAGTAGCAATTTTGAAGTTGTTAAAAAGCATCATGCTAATTAATGTTCAGAAGATCACTGAAGCAGCAAAAAGGGAAACATTACTGTAGCTTCTCTAGTAGTGCTTGTTATAATATTTGTCCAAAATATTCAGTTTTGAATATCATTACCCCCCACTCCAACAGACTCTTCTTTCATACAAGGGTCTCAGCAGCAACAGTCCCAAACGGGATCGCCAACTCACAAACAAGCAATCACAAATTGCTCCATTACCCACAGGATATGCCCAAATTACTCCCTTGCGTAATTATCCCCAGTTTAAGAATCACTGTCCAAATGCTATGCAAAAGTACTGCAGAACTTGACTTTGCAAAACTGCTTCAGCAGGATTGGTCAACTGAATTGTCATCTAATTTAACTAATCTGTTGAAGTTCTTCACCTTCTTTACTATACTCTTTCCTAGATAGTATAGGAAAATAGAAAAGTTTCTGCACTTGGACAGACTAGCATGTAGCACAATACAGATAAGAAATCCTTATTTTTTTAGTTCTTATTTTTCTAATACATGTACTTATCTTATTATGCATCTATATCCAAGTAGAATTTCCTGACATCTATCCTGTCACCAATAATCGCTCTGTAATTTAAGTCTCTTTGTTCCTATAAAGTAGATATAGCCTGTTTTTGGTGATGGGATGGTGTTTTTCACCTGCTAATGTGTCCTTTGTGGGACCCTTGCTATAAAACTGCATATTTTAATGTGACAGGAAAAATATTGTATTTTATTTACATATACACTAAACCATTTGTCCTGGCTCAGCCCACTTCTTGAGCATATCAAGAGATCTCTAGTTTTCTATTTAAAACCTAAAAGCAACCTTTGTCTTGAAAAAAAAACCCCACAACTACTCCAGCTGTGGGGTCATGTTGAATATCTTTAAAATCAAGGAAATAACTTTTAAAAAATAATATACCTACCCAAAGCACCCAATGAGTTCTGTAAAGTTCAAGACATGCTTTGAGTCTGAATTTAGTAATAAGAGTCTGAAGAGACAGCCTAGAAGAAAAATACAATGCACAATAAACTGATACTCAAATAAGATTATGTTTGCCTAATTCAGACAATCAAGGATACCCATCTGCAAACTGGTGCTGTGGAAGAAGACCCAACTGTGAATATTGTCTATGGGAAGTTCTTATAGGACTGCTTTTTTCCCAAAGGGAACATGGTAAGAACTAGCATTTCTGGAGGATCTTTGGGACTTAGCTGTGAAGCCATCAGCACCTACAGTGTTTCTCTTATCTCAGCAATGTATATGTGGACTTCAACTCCCACAATTTCCTAACTGGCTCAGAAAGTTTGGAGTTTAAATTTAAACAATTTAAAAGTTGCCAAGTTTTGGAAACACTGGTATAATTTATTTTTGGAAACATTGTGTTATTCTTAATGTTTTGTTATTTTATTATTTTTTAAATAATTGTTAAATATTAACAAATCACCTAGAGTCCTGCAGGCTGAGGCAAGGATAAATTGGAAAAATGCATTATTGAGTTTTCCTTTTAAGTTGAAGTAAGGAAGGTACAAATGTTAGTTTCTTTGGCTAATTCACTAGAAATTCTTCATATTGTATATATTTGTCCTATCATTTAATTTTTCTTAATATTCCTTCCCTGGATTTCCATATTTCCATACTCATCATTGTTCACCCATATCAGCAAATCTTGCATTATTGCTAGAGTTGCATTTCTTGTTTATGACTACAGCAAAAAAAAAACATTGTAATAAATATGCTTATCATTTCAGATTTTGCAGAAAGTGTAAAAAAGCTGAGATTTAGCCAATTATTTTAATCTGCCAGCAGAAATCTTGCTATTTTTTTAAAATAAGGGAATAATGTAAAGAAACGTCAAGTGGAATAACCATGGAGTAGCGTTTATTTTATCTCTGACTGTAATAAGAAAAGAGAGCATTTGAAAGAGGTAAGCATATAAGTATTTTTTTTCTTATATTCCCTTTTTAAAGAGGGTATTAGTTCTTTTAAGTTCTTTAAAAACTTGTCTACTAGTTTAGAAATAAAAAAGGCCACGTTGAGGTTTAATAATTGTTGGTAATTGGCAGCAAAAAGGAGTTGGAGTCCAGTGAACAGTCTGAGGAGGCTGCAAGTTTCCTTTGTGAACAGATTTCCACCCTTAGTATAACAAGGGCAGGTTATCTTTCTGTGCTTAAGGGCTGCTGGTGGTTGTGTTCCACCTGCTGAGAGGCACAGAAGATTGTGAGATCATCAGAGGGAGGCAGGGATTTTTACTCCTTTGTAAGCTTTTGGGCTTCCCCCTCCTCACTTTCCTGCAAATAAATAGATCTTATGTCTATTGGAGGTTTAACTTATTTTTATCTAATGCCCCAAATTGTGGTTCAGTGGCATAATCTTAATTCTAGTGCTGCTCTGATTAGCATACCGTAGTAGTACTCCAGTACAAACTGCAGTATGGTCCTGTGTGTATCATCAGGTCAGGACTCTTGCATTTATTGCTAGTTTAGTGTGTATATAATTGTACAACAGTAAACGTCATGTGAATATATTATAGCAAACCTTTCCTACCCTGATAAATCAAGAAACCCAAGTATTAAATTAACAGTGTGTTTTTGCTAGAGTTCAATTATTAAAACTATTTTTAAAAAGTACCATAATAATATGCTATGCAGAATGATTGTTAGCATAATGCCCAATAACATTTCCTAATCTGACTGCTGTAAAGAATTACAGTAACTCAGATTGTAAAACTCTGTTAAGCCTTTATGGCTTATATATACACTCACCCTGCATTATTACTAAAAGCAGTGCTTTTTTTCTAAAAAAAAAAAAAAGTGCTGGAACTCATACACGTCATACAACCCGCCTTGCCTACCCTACAAGGTTCCATCCAAAAAAGGTGTCGGAACTCCGTTCTGGGCGTTCTATGAGAAAAAGAATCCTGACTAAAAGAATACATAATCCAGGGTGATTCTGTAGTTTTGGTTCCAGGGTTAGTCCCTGAGGAAGGGCTTTATTTCAGGTGTTTACTTTGTATGTTACAAGACCATTGGGACTACATAGGAAAGAGAGTGCTAGTGAATATAAGAAAAAAATATGAATAGAAAAGTAGAGGATTTCAGACAAGGTTTGATAGAGAAATACTTAATGGAGTCTACTGGTTGTGAATGAAGATGGAGGAGGAATGGACACAAGGTACACATTAGAAGTGGAACTACCTGCTTTGGTAACCAGTTTTGTTTTGGGACATGATGTAAACCTGCCTTAGATTCTTCAGCCCTCAGAAGGTTTATCAAAGGTGAGCAGAATGGCTGGCACTGCTGACAGGGAAGAGTTGGAGGGTGAGAAACACAAACTATGACCACTATTATCTACAAAGTGGCAGCAACAAGGATATTTGGAGTAGGAATGGTGAACAAAAAAAACAAAACACAAATCCCAGATTCCCTAGAATAATCCTGGCCCAATATTGGGCACTGAGAGAACCTTTGTCAGATCCAGAAAGATTTCCCTGATGGGATGAAAGATTTCGTGTCTGCAGGTGCCAGAACTGAGAAGTGCTGCCAGGATGGGTAATTGCAGCTGCAATTAAACCCAGTCTGGAAAGCATCTGAAGATTTATTTTAACACCAGATGATCTGGATTGAAATATAAGAGTACATTCTCTGAGCAAGAGTTAAGGAAAGCTGAGGTCAGCTTCCCATCCCTTACCAGGCAAGAGAACAGGAGTGAGATGGAGGGATTTTATGAGTTTTAAAGTTCTCTGGAAAGTTGAAGGCCCTAGGATGTAGGTGATGGGAATTAGAAAAGTGGTAATGGAATTGAGCCACGTGGGGCAGCTCTGCAGATGAAACAGCAGAGACTCAATAATAAGAAAATGGAACTAGAGCAGGGAATACTGAGTGTATTGTTGGGGAAGAAAGGGGATACATACATTAGTTCAGGTTCATTCTAAGCCAATGATCCCCCTCCTAGAGCCAAGATAGTAGGTTGAAGGGTATTTTAGTCTTCAACTGTTGGTAAATGTCAGGTTTCCCTACAACAAAACTGCATCTGACACGGTGATGGACAAATGACTGGATCTGATACTTACATAGGGCCTAGGGGAGGGTGTAGAGTCAAAACCTTCAGGACGGTGAGCACGACATAATTGGAGATCTGCCATTTTTGTACGTGTGTGCTGTGATCATTCACAGAGACAGGGAGCACTATCTCAAATATAATCAGATGCAAGTGCCTATAAATGGAATGAGGACACACTGACAAACTAGGGGTGTTGCTGGTGTCACAACCCTCTGGATCTCATCACAGTTCTGGTGCTGGAGTTCCTAAATGTTGCTTGAATAACTTCATTTTCCATGCCCTGGAAGAGAAATCTGGTGTAGCTTGTAAGTTCATATTCACAAGCTTGTCACAAGAAATTGCAGATCCAAAATACAGGATATATTTGGTCTTCACATTGGAACAGATGACATTAACAGAAGACATTAATACCTTGCCTTTGCCTTGATCAAATCACCTTGTTAAATTACAGATCATAGATAATTTAAAATTCCTGCAAGAGTAGTAGACCTATTACAATGTTGTAAATTAAGAAAAGGGAGTGCTGTATTTATGTGCCACGAGTGCTGGGGGAAAGTTGGGATACAAAACATATATTGCTATGCCAGACTAAGCTAGAGACATTATGGAAATTTTGAATGAGTGCCTGTGACTATATATGAGAACTATCATCATTAAGTGAGCATTAACATAACATATTAATGTTTTTTTTGAAAAAATGGATTTGTTTTTATGTACTTTTCCTGTTATTCATTGCCAAGTATGTCTGGATCGGAGCAAGAGAGAGATTTTGTTAAATAAAATAGAAAAAATATTAAGTGACTTTTTAAGAACAGTTTAAAATTTAAAAACTTTTTAAAATTTTTGAATTTTAAAAATTATTTAAAAGTTAGCAATGTTTCAAAAACCTCTAGCATTTGCTCCTTCCTCTCAGGTCTGATATTCTAATATTGGACTACAAGATTGTTCACATGTTGAGAAGGGGATTTTTTTGCCTTTGCCATAAACTTGACTATATTTGATCAAGGTCACCAGTCTACTTTCCTTTAAGTTGGCAAAATATAAAGGGGACCAACCAAGTTACACAAAAGCTCCTCTGTGCAATGGAGAGTATCTTTGAATCTTCACTACATCTTGGGCTCGGAGGCATCTCCTCATCATTCCACCACAGTTGCATGAATGGGATATCTTTTATTTAGGTAAAAAAAATGACATTTTTTCATAAAGAAATCTTGCCATAGAAAGAGAAAAATTCATATTCCTCAATAATTAATATTCTGGGGTTTGTCGTAAGTCTTGACTGAAAAATTATGAATTACCTGCCATCAAATGTTCTGGGGAAATCAGGAAGGGAAGGAGCCCATGTGAATGGAGTAAAAAAGTATGGAAGCATGCTCTAAATGTATCAAGGATATGGCTTGCGATTGGTCTGTAAAACTCCATGTATAAAAATACTGAACTCAATAAATGATTACTTGGTAAGAAAACTTCAGGTCATAATTTTCCATCCAGGTTTTACTTTCTTGGTAAATCATCATTTAATATGCATTTCAAGTTAAGTTATCTAATAAAACAAATGTATTTAGCGTTAAATGCGTCCAACTCTCAAAAAACTCTTTAAAACAGTGATAAAAAAGCAAACTCCAGGCAATGAATTCAATCACTGAAACAAATTTTCATACAAGACAAGAAATTGATATGCTATAGTTTCAATAACTTTTAGAACAATTTTTAAAAACAGTGGGGAAAAATGTCAAATTTGTATTTTCCCACTTTTATCCCATAAGTTGTCAGCAATGGCCGATTATCTTGTCAGGCAACTGACTTAAGAGATGCAGAGAACTTTAGAAATTAAAAACAAAATTTAAAAAAATAACTTTTTTTTTTCAAGAAAATAGTTCAAAAGCCACATAAAGTGAGGCCAACCATTTACAAGCAAATTTTGTAACAACAAATCTGAGGATTTTCTTATATGTATTATCTATCTCCCAAAATGTAGTTATTCATTGCACATTATAACAAGAACAGATTCATGCATATACCATGGCTATTTTTTTCTAATGGGCAATTCTTTCTCAGATAAATAGAAAATCACTGAGAAGTCTCATTATAAAGTGAGCTGTAGGCAAATGCAGCTGTTTCTGCTATTACAATGGCAAGGAAAAAATGATTAGATTTTAGTAGTTCTCTGAATATTAAATGTGTGGTAGATTCCATGTCATAGTTTCTGAAAAACAGAAACTAAATTCCTTTTGTGTGTCAGGGCCTACGATATATATGAAAATATATAAAATTGATGCATACATTTATAATATACATACATTTTTAGGAAAGAATGTAAAATGATATATAATCAGGCAGATTTTCTTTCCAGGTTTTAAAAGAGCAACACATACCAAGGGCCACAGAAAAGTAGGGATATTACCCTTTTATTTTCTAGTCAATGTTGCTTCATAGATAAAATCAATTAATGTTGATTATTTATGCTTAATCAATAAATGTAAAAATCCTTTCTTTGGCATTGGACAGTACTCTTCTGTTTACACTAGAAGGCCATGCAGAGTAGTTCCTTAGGAAATCATTTTTCACTCTAATACAGCAATGCAACTTGTAAAAATTACAAGCATCTTCTCAAGTTAAAAAAAACCTGATCCATAATTTATTCACTGCCAGTTGGGCATAATTTTTGCACAAGATGTCAAAGAAGAGACAACCCTTATGCTTTCAAAGCATATGCTCTCTGTATTCATTCTTAAGAGACAAGTCTTTTCCAAGTAAATCAAATCTGCAAGGAATGGTTTTAAAAAGGCTTTGTTTCATAAACAATTTAAGCATTCCTTACTGTATCCACAAGAGTTAAGCTTTCATTTCTAAATAATTTACAGATCAAGAACATAACATGATTGCACACTCTTTCAGTAATAAGCAGCATATCTTAAAAGAGTAACAATAAATATTAAAATGTAAAATATGATTTGTTTGGAGATGATTTACACCAGTACATTTGAAGAAATCAATAATTTAGTTGTAACCTGAAATTTTTTTTAAAAGAAAAACAAAACAAGACGATATTGTAATGATCAGTGCTGTAAATAAATTGGAATGTTTAAATGCAGTGCTAAAATGTCATAACAACCTCTCATCATACCTATGTAGTAGTTACTGTAAAATCTAAATGTTGAATACCACAGATGCAAATGCAGTTTTCAGCATTTGTGCAAGTGTATGTGTATATGTGTGTGTGTGTGTGTATACACACAAACTGACACACAAATATCTATATTCATACTTACATCACACACTATAAAGGTTTCTGTGTTAATTATTTAAAAAAACATACAAAATTAAAGTCAGTGATTTTCTTTCAATATTTTTTTCTTTAAAACACATTTTAGGATTTTGTTTAAAAAATTACACTGAAATTAGTCTGAAATGCAAGTAGTAATTCAATTATACATTTAAAAACAGTCATCTCTAGTAATGTAAGTACTGAGGCTTAATTTCATTAGCGATTGTTTTCTTTTCTTTTGTTCCCAGTGCAAATCCAGCTACAATGAGTGCAAACTGGATTATTTTAAAGAGCACACGGTTTTAGTGAATCATTTTGTCCTATAATGCAAAACTCATTGCATATGCACATATGATTAATATTAAATAATATATTTCAGTGCTTATCCATGAGTAATTTCTTACAGCAAGCTCAGTCAGAAACAAAATTCACATTACATCAATTTTTGAGTGTTAAATTGTCATAAATTTCAGGTATCCATGTGCAAAACATGTTTTGTTACAGTATTCCCAAAAAATTTCTTGTCAGAATTTTTCAGAACTCCTTTCTATTTCCATGTAGTTTCCACACACGCATCTGCGCGCACACACACACACACACACACACTCTCATGCACAAACATACACTTTATCTTCCTATGCTTCCTATGTCTAATAACACTTTTCTGATCCAATCAGGTACTAAGTGCATGACTGCCTACATTGTATAGACAATCTTGATGCAGTGAATGAAGGATGATTTATATTCATGTGTTGTTCCTAGCAAACATACGGTCCCCTCTGAGCGTGAGGTGCTGGAGCTGATACTGAAGCACTTCTGTATCAGCTGGTTCCTTGATGTTCATTCTGTCTAAATTGAGGTAGTCTAGGGATTTTGAGTGAGCTCTTTTACCTTTGAAAAGGCAGAGGGGTAAAGGACCATGAAATGCCTTGTATGGTTCATAAGGTAGTGGCTTGCTGCATTTATCCCCTGAGCTGGGCATCCGTCGCCTTCTACGGCCATTGATCGCTGGGATCTCATAAGGCTGGTAATACCTGCTTCTGGCTTTGCACACTCGGGAAGAACGAGAAAGTCCTGAATCAAGCTGTTTGGAACGCAAAGTAGGTCCTATCATTTCAACATTATTCTGTTCTTCTACAGTGCACTTTTGGGCTAATTTCAGGAGTTCCTCTCCAGTAGTGAAGCCAACCAAGAAGTTAGAATCCATGTGGAGGATTTGGTAACCTGAAACAGTCTGGCGCATTGGTGAACATGGGGTGCTGGAGCAGCGAGGTTTCTCGTCTGTTTTGCTTGCAGCACTCACTTCAGCAATAGGCAAGGGGAGAGGGGCTAGCATAGATCTGGCCTCTCCATTAATGTCAACTTCCATTTTAAGTAGAATCCAATAACCTAAAAATACAAAACAGCTTTATTAGCATGACACAAACACAAGTGGAACTGGTGTCGGTTGAGAAATGGCAGTCATTTCTGTCTTTAGATCTTACTTTGCAGAGACTTCATTGTAAACAAGCACATGGTAACAAACAGATGACTGGAGCTGGACTTGCATTCCATTTTTGGCAAAACACTGGTTTGTGTCTTTATCTATCATTCTTTTCTTCTTTCCTATCAGGTTCAGCTCCCAACCTTTATCCATAAACTGAAAATAATAATGTCCTCTCACTCTAGTATTACCTGTGAACAGTACTCATAATGATAGTTCTGAATATAACCATATTTCAGTTACCAGATCTTATCCTAGTAGTAGATCCACAAGACAATAAATTAGATATTACAGCTGAAAAAAGTAAAAGCAAGGATTATCTTCAAGATAAAATTCAAAATGTCTTTTTATTTTCACATACTACTACCAGTTAGGGGCTAAGTCAGTGTTCAATTTTCTTCATTACATGCAGACTAAATCCTTAAACAGGAACAGCCATGTTTTCAGAAGATGGCTTGAACCATTCTCTACAGAATGGTGCAAAGAAATCCACTGGGTGAACTTGGGTTACTCATTCCTTCTCAGCTCTAATCAATCTCAGGCTCTGCAAGAAGCCAAATGAAAAACAAGATTTATTGCATCATGCATTGACAGATTTGAGTGTGGACTAGACGAGTGCAGTACAAAACAAGTGGATGCTGCAACCAAGTGGGAGAAACACTAAAAACACCACCATTACAATTTAATGTGATGTCTAAATCTGACTTTAGTATGTCAAATCTGCTATACATATCTCTGGTACTATATAAAACATAAAATGCAAGCAGAATACTTTTGTCTAAACATTTGGATTTGCATATTGAGTGGTACGGTTTGTTTCATGCAAAAATAATATGGTTCGTGTAAGTTGTGCTGTTTGCAGTAAACAAACGTCTATATAAAAAGTGTATAATATTTTGAAAGGCACACAAATCAAAATTGAATCTCCCACTCAGGAATAAATTGAATATATGTTTTAAAATATGATCAAAAGTCCATCTAAACTGGAATGGAAAATTTTTTCCCTAAAGCAACTCTGCCCTTGCTTATCTTTTTCCATGCTATACTGAAATGAATCTAATATTCCAAATGCACAGCTAATTAACAAATAAAAAGCCTAGCATGTTTGTAATTACTTTCAGTGGGAGCTCTTGTTTGTGGGGAACCCCCCCCCCAACTCAATTTCTACTTCCTACTCAACCACAGCACATGACCTTGGGCTTTATAGTACTGAATTTAGCTCAGATAGAAAACAAAGTGATTAAGTCTTAATAAACCCTTTAATAAAAACTGCAGTGATCCAGAGATTAGGTTGATGCCCTTTTGTCAGTAGGTTAAGCTGTTCTTATTTACAAAGGGATATTCTTAGTTGCCACCTTTTATCCTATACTTTTTATAATATAACTTAACTGCCACCTTTTATAATTCTCCTTTGCAATTATTTTCTTTTGTGATATGGTGTTGTCATGTACTGACAATAGAAGATGTTGTGGAAATTAGCTGCTCTAGGTGATGCTTGAGAGTTTTGGAAGGCAGAACTGTATTTCCAAAACAAACATGTTCACTCATGCAACTCTTTGCCCGTAAGAATATCAGCCATCATTGGTATACATCTATTTTCTGAAATGCCAAAAGGTCAAATGGATGGATATTTCAGAGGATGAATAAGCCACTATTAGCTAACCCCACGACAGAGAATGAGGTGGCTGGATGGAGTCACTGAAGCAGTAGGCATGAGCTTAAATGGATTCCAGAAGATGGTAGAGGGCAGGAAGGCCTGGAGGAATGTTGTCCATGGGGTCGCGATGGGTCGGACACAACTTCGCAACGAACAACAACAATCTAACCTCACTTGCAATTAACAGAATAACAGAGTTGGAACAGACCTTGGAGGCCTTCTAGTCCAACCCCTGCTCGAGACCCTGTATCATTTCAGAAAAATGGTTGTCCAATCATTTCTTAAAAACCTTCAGTGTTGTGCACCACAACTTTTGAAGGTAAGTCATTCCATTGATTAATTGTTCTTAGTGTTAGGAAATTTCTCATTAGTTCTCTCCTTGATTAGTTTCCATCTATTGGTTTTTGTTCTGCCTTTAGGTGCTTTGGAGAATAAGTTAACTCTTCTTTACGACATACCCTTAGATATTGAAACAATGCTATCACATCACCCCCTGTCCTTCTTTTAATTAAACTAGACATACCAAAGTCCTGCAATGTTGTTTTAGCCTCCAGTCCCCTAATCATCTTTGTTGTTCCTCTCTGCACTCTTTCTGGAACCTCAACATCTTTTTTATGTCATGGTAACAAAAACTGAATGCAATAGTCCAAGTGTGGTCTTACTAAGGCATTATAAAATGATACTAACACTAACACTGCCAGGGTTGGGAGATTTTCTGTGTCTGTCAAAACTTTGATTTCAAATTCCATTTGTGATCATTAGAAATGGTAGCAATTTTGATTTCAGACAAAGTGACCAATCTTGAAATGATTTTGACATGTAGGAAGAAAAGAACAGTGTGCACTTTCTCACTATCTAGCCTATGTCTTATCATGATGCATGTATGATGTTTGAAAGTTAATTACACTAAATATACTATCAGGGCCACAAATTAAAAAAAATATATATAGACATGAGTGCACCTGCTGGGATTTGCCAATCTCAAACTAAAAGACCAGTAAATTACAGCAGCTTATTACACCTCTCTTTCTCTCGCACACCCACCCACACCCACAAAACACTCCCTCTTTCTATCTATCTGTCACACACACAAACATCTGCAGGAAAAAGACAAAAAAAACCCTGCAATTGTTTGTTTCAATCTGGCCTACTATTATTGGGACAAACATTGGGTAGGTTCTTATTCTAATCTATTGGTTGCTTCACTAGGTTTACTGAATAAATCATAACTGGATGTGTTTCCACATCTTCTAAATTACAAACTATGGTTTGTAAATATCTGTATCAATAAAACCAGCAACAAAAAGTCATGGTTCTTTTTTGTATATTTGTTATAGTAGCAAATGCTGTTTTGAACCTATCAAATATTACACAATGAATTTTGAGTCCTACAGTACTGAATAGGCCTAAACCTCTTTCATCTTGGGCTGCAACCTCTGATCTCAGGAGAACACCATAGCAATAGTAATAGCACTTAGACTTATATACTACTTCACAGTGCTTTACAGCCCTCTCTTAGTGGCTTAGAGTCAGCATATTGTCCCCAATCTGGGTCATTTTACCAACTTCAAAAAGATGAAAGGCTGAGTCAACCCTGAACCAGTCAGAATCGAACTCCTGGCAGTGAACAGAGAGTTAGCCTGCAATATGCACTCTAAGCACTGAAACACCACAGCTCCTCAATAACCTCATCACTATCCCTTGGTTATAACCCCCTTGTCTACAAAAGGGCTGTATGTGATCCTCTACTGGAATCACTTGATAAGTCTATTTGAACTGATTTTGAATGAACAATATCAGGAATAGGAGGTTTTCTTTTTCATCACAATCATAGGGAAATCTTGCCCTGATTTTCACAGACTTTACTTTCAATCTGCAGCCTGTTTTATAAAATACACACCTAATAAACACTGAAGGAAACAATATACAATCCATGTGTATAGATGTGCCAAACAAACAAAAAAGGTACATTCAATTTCTTATTTAAAAATGCTATTAAGAAAACCTGTGAAATAATATTTACCATAGAATTGATTTTTTAAAAAACAAATATTTTACTTGCAATCTCAGAGAAAAATTGCATTAAATAAAGTGCATTATATTTCTAAAATGCAACAGCATTGTGTTGGAAGAGCCAAACTATAATTCCATTTGTGCATAAACCTGCTGTAGTTGCTCTTCATCAAATACATGTGCTTCTTATGCACACCATATAAAGTAAAATAGTGGTAATCTTCATAGAAAAAAATATTTTCGTTAATTCAGCCTTCACAACACTACACTCAGAGTCTGAGGATCACATGCTGCCTGGGAATTATGAAGCTGCAGTAGCAATATATCTTGAAGGCACCAGATATGAAAAGTTGTGAGAGTCTGTTATCCAGATTTCTTTCTATAAAAATAATAGCTCACCACTATCTTAAAGATGGGATTCTTGAAGTGTTTGTGTAAAACAATCCAAAATGAAGCTAACTGAACATGTAATCTCAAAATGCAGATAATAATGAATGGTAAAGATAGGTACTTTCATAGTTCATCACAAATATGCCCATTTATACATACTGGGCATTCTCAAAGCATATCCTTTTACATGTGTAAGCTTTATTAGGAGTACAATTTACAGAGTATGTGTTCTGTCTTTCTATCCAGACATTTATGATTTATATAGCAAGTATAATTGAAGATAAATGGATTTTAAATCACAACTGAACATTTTACTAAGTAAATAGCCGAAGTCCTGGATGTGTTTATAGCCGATTCTGGTTTTTTTATTTTGGATAAAAATCATGCAGTAGGCCTTTTCCTTATTTTTTTCCATCCCAACTGTTCTGGTTGGTTTGAGAGAATACTCTGAAATAAATTTTTAGGATATTCCTGAGGGCCTAATCATCCACATCTAATTTTACTAACAGAAATTTGCCATTTTTTTAAATGCTGTTATTGTTAGCCTCTTTGTCAGCCCTTAAATAACATTATTCACAAAAAATTCTGCCTCCTCTCTGGTCTCATTGCCCTTCAGAATAGTTGTTCTTCAGAGTTTTTAAATTCTAGTTCTGATTTATATGTAGCATAAGAACAGAAAATATGTATTGATATAAGCATGGCACATTGAACTGCAGTTATTAGGGATGTACATTAGCAGATCTGCCCAACCTGTATCCTACCAAGCAGCCTTGTGTGTACGGCTGGCATTTTTTAAAAAATAGTCAATCCATTGATGCCAGGAAGGATCCACCACTACCTAGGTTTTTAGAGTCATCTTCATCCCAAAAGGCATGTGGCTGAATACCTCCAGGCCTCACAACCAGTTCCATTGCTGCTGCAATGCTGAACACTTGATCTGCCTGCCAGCTATTCCTTTGTGACCTGTAATTATTTTTAAAGTAGTAAACTTTCCTTTCTACGAGTTTTGTGGACCTGTCATTAGCATGGTAATTATATATCTGTTTGTGCAATAAATCATGGTGATACTAATATTGCTGTTAATATGGGCCAATGAACTTGGAAAGTACATTTGTCACATGAAGCCTGAATAACACTGAGTAACAGTCCACACCAACTTGTAGACTGTGGAATATTGCAAAGAACAGCTGGCTAATTCTTTCTTTGCTGTTTTGTACAAATAATTTTGAAGGTCAACAAAACTTGTTTTTAATGTAAGGAATAACATTTTAATATAAAGATCTCTAACATTTAATACGTCTGGCAAATATAGAAAAATAACTCAGCATTAGATTTCTCTAAAATGTAATATTTATATCACTTACTGTTCTATAAGTAACAAATCTCACACAAATTTCATAGATTAAAAGGTTTAAGAATTAAAAATGACAATGTCTGCAGGTCCTTACAATTTCCTTATCCAACATAATGGTTTCCAGTTATGCTGGGGCTACAGTTTCCAGAATTGCCAGTCAACCCAGTTAAATTAGCTAGAAATTGTGGATACTGTAGTCACAACATATCTGGAAGGAATCATTTAAGTGAAAGATATTCTACAGTATTAATCAAATAGCATTATGAGATGATTATAGATTATGATCATATGCATTATTTATTGACTGACTAAAATCTATATGGCATTCAACAAAACCAAACTCTTCATGGCGGTAAAGTTTATATTTACCCATTGTTCAAAAAACCCATTAAGTCAGTGAGATTTAATTCAGTTTTATTAATTTTATTGTTCAATATATGCATGTGTAAGAAGAGTAATAAAAAAATATTCCAGGGAGCATCAGCAATTTCTTTTTGAGCTCCTCTAGACCAGGGGTGTCAAACTGCCGGCCCACAGGCCAGATGTGTCATGGGGAAGCCGCGCCCACCCCATTGCCAGCAATGGAAAAACTGTCCCAATACGTTGCCTGATGTCACGTGACGTCGCAAGTTTAACATGTTTGCTCTAGACTGTAAAACTGAAAATTACTTACCCAATTAAAGGAGAAACGCTAACCGGAAACAAAAACTTTTAGAATTTCACAAATTATGAACTGTTTCAGAAGATGCCAACAAAAGAAAAGCAGGATGCATGGTTTTTCTAAGTCTTGAATAGCCAGTTAGCTGCATGTAGGGTCATATTTGATAGGAATAAAGTAAAACCCTTTAAGGATTCAAGAAATTGTAGCTTGGGTAATGAAGCTATTAATCATAATACTTTAGGCAAAAATTTCTTCTAATGTACAATTTCGTAGAACATAATATATACAATATACAGTAGTTTTACCAACTTGTCTCTCTCCAGTTGTTAACTGTCAATATTTCCAGAGAGCAAGGATCTGCTCAGAGATCATTTTATCCAAGACTTCTGTGTGTTTCATTCCATATGCACCCAGGCAGTGCCTGGTTACGAAAAGCAGGTAGTAAAAAAAGAGTAGGGTTGTCATCCTCACTGGGATATTGTTCTATAAAGAAATCATGATAAGAGCATGACTCAAACAATCATAAAATCACAGCAGGAGCCATTTAGACAATCATGTCTGTACTTGGTATAAAAATCCAAAGTTAAAAAAATCATGTAATGTTACAGTCTCTACCTCTTCTTTAAGTACTTTTAAACTCTCTTAATGTTAAGACGTAATTTCTAATAATTCAGTCAGTTCTTCCTGCAACTTAAATTATTTCTACCTTGCACTCTTAAATGACAAAGAACAGCTTTGACTTTCTGTGTGACATCCTTTCTGGGACTCAAAGAATGCCACCATATTCCCTTCCCCCACAAGTCTAAAGTCTTAAATATTTCCAGTTCCTTCCGTATCTTCTTGCAGTATTTTTTTTTACCCTCTTATCATCCTTGTGATCTTCCCTTGACCTGTCCAGTTGATCTGAATCCTTCTTAAAATGTGTTTTCTTAAATTGACACATTGCTGAAAATGGGGTTTGACCAATGTAGAAAAAAATGGCGTTTGTCTTGTTCTGCAGCTATATCACATTGCTGACTCACATTGTTTGCAGTTAACTGCTATTCTCAGATCATCTTCACATGTAATGCCATTCAGGCAGGTAACCTGAATTCAGTATGTATGTATTTTGATTTCTATTTCCTAAGTGAAAAAGTGCACCTGTCTATATTTAATTTCATTCAGTAATTTTCAGCTTATTTCTTTTAGGACTGGATTGTTTTAAATTTCTGTTGTGGCTGTTGTTGCTTTCTAGAGTAATAGCTAGCCCATTAATTTTTGCATGAAATCTGATAAGCATTCTGTCTTCATCTAAGTCATTAACATGTTGAAGAATATCAATAATAAAAATGTTCGATATTTCAATTTAATGAGAACCCACTAAACACAGATTCCCTGCAATTTCAAGCCAACTATAACCATCAAGCAAAGATGTAGTTGAATCATTCTAGAATTTTTGTCCACTCAGCTATAATAGAAAAATATCCAAGTCTGATACAAGTCTGTATTTTTCCTGAGAGGACAATAGTACGAGAAAAGAATAAGAGAGGTTTTTTTTTTTTGCTGTATCACCCTTGTAAAATATCACACTCAAATATTTTTTTATGAGTGATAATTAAGCCTGGTTCATTGTGAAAATGAGATCACATCAACCAGTCTTAGTCCCTAGTGATTATTCTCTCCCTAGCAACAGATGTTTCCTAGAAATGTTTTCAATGTACAGATGTCTGAAAATATTTATGTAGTTCATACATAATGTCATATTCTCCAGAACCTCTATCCTACTTATAATTCAACAGTTTCTTGCACATTCATATTTGAAGATTTCTAAAATTTAAATCTAGTGGACAATTTCAGAATACATATAGAGCTTACAACAAAACACATAATGGATTTGCTCATTTGTGAAATGGCTAAAACTGTCATTTTAACCAATTTAAAAATAATTCCAAATTATGCTAACAGGGATATAACTTACCCGAAACAGCTGAAGTGAGGGCTTCTTTTGAATCTAGTTTTGTTTTTTACTTTTACTTGTTTGTAAGAAAAAATAAATTCAAAATCAAACTGATGAAGTTCAAAGACAAGCAAAATCCTACCCAATGAGAAAATGACACATAGGCAACATATATTTCATTATGAATAAGAACTGGCACACAAAAAAATAGACTACGCTAAAAGAAAACCAACAAAATCAGTCAAAAAGTAAAATAGAAGAGTGGCAAAATGAGAGTCAGTTTGTTCTAGTGCAGGGGTCATCAAACATGCTGGCTGAGGAATTCTGGGAATTGAAGTCCACAAGTCATAAAAGAACCAAGTTTGAAGACCCCTGTTCTAGTGGTTAAAGCACTAGGCTAGAAAGCAGGAGAGCCTGAGATAAAGTCCCAGCTGGGTGACTTTGGGCCAGTCATTTGCTCTCAGCCCAACCCATTTCACAAGGTTGTTCTTGTGGGGAAAATTGGAAGAGGAAGGAGTCTTATGTATGTTTGCTACCTTGAGTTACTTATAAAAATAATAAAAGTAGTGAATGAATGGATGGATGGATGAGACATGAACAAAACAATGTCTCCTTCCTACATCCTCATCCTTTATTTTCTAAAATTTATCTAGGGTCCCTAGAAGTCCCAAGAGGTGTTCCTGGATATAAATATGGCACTGGGCACTGGATTACAAATAAATATACAACATATATTAATAAGCGACTGGGCACCAGATGGGTACCAATGAAGATATCTTTCCATATAAATATTTCTAGCATATAATTCTGTACCATAAAATCAGGCATAAGTGTTTAATAAGGATTTTTTCCCCAAACTAGAGTCTGGCATGTTTCTCTGATAACTTACATTTGCATGAGATTGTATTAAATCTTACTCTACTGCAGTGTTTCCCAAACTTGACAATTTTAAGGCATGAGGACTTCAACTCCCAGAATTCCACAGCCAGGAATCAATTTATCTTTATTGACCTACTGATGCCTTTTTATGTCTCTCTCTCTCTCTCTCTCTCTCTCTGTGTGTGTGTGTGTGTTTGTAGATTTAGAGAAATAAAGGGAATACATATACATACCTACAGCACACAAACACACACAAACACGTACACAGAGCTGTCTTCAGTCCTAGTTGGATAACAGACCACTTTACACCTTCTCAGTTGTTCTACATGGATTCATGATTAAATATCAAGAGAGACAAGCTACAAAACTATGATGCTGTGGATATTAACTTTTCCTTCACCCTCTGCCATTCAAAGGATTATAGAATGTATAGTAGATCTTCTGAACCTGTGAACTATAATGCTAGAAGCAGATCTCAGGTTTTGCATGTTCAAAAATTACTTATGGAAATGGCAATAGAGCAAAACACAGCTTGGCAATTTTATACCAACATAGAAAATATGTATAGTTTTACTAGATTGCTGGGTATTATTTTGGAGTACAATGTTTTTACATTTAGTATTATTGTTGGGCTCAATATTTTAATATTACTGTTGCTTAGTTTTTATCTTACTGTTAACAATGGTTTTAAAATATATTATTGTAACTATTTATATACTAAGAGTTTTTTTCTTTTTCTACTCAAGTTTTAGGAGTGAAGCTGCAGAATTAAAAGTCCTGGGATTATTAAAAAAATATATCAGCTGAGAAATAAAATTACTGCAGGAAAGTATTTATAGTATGCAGTCTTTGCTGAAAACATTCAGCTGTCATATCTGCAAAAAAAAAAACCTCTAGCATTTGCATTTTTTAAACAACTTTGCTGGTGGTTGAAAACATTACATTTTTCAAGTCTACATGCTAAATTCATTTTATTTGCAGTCATTCTACTGAGATTCCCCTCATCACTTAGATCTTGATTTAGGGGAGCAGATCTAAGAAGATCATTTGAATGCAAGCCAGAAGAAAGAAATCTCTGTGTCATGCAGGGAATCTGTAGCTGCCAAGAGCTCTCCATAGTGCTACTTCCTTTTATGGACAATGAGGCAAGGCAGCAGTACCATGGAGAGTCCTTGAAGCACGTGGGCCATACGCAGAGGCTTAACAACTATGCTTCAGAATCAACTCTATTTCTCAATGGGAATGGACAGGTGTGATGAAGTATATGCTGCAAATAGATAGCAAAACTTCAGAGCTCTACTACCTACTATGAAATTGCAAACAAAAGAAAAACACAAGTGGATCAAACATCAAAAGCTGTACATAGCTTGAAGCTTGCTCAGATTCCTGGCTTTGCTCCTTGGCTTCTTAAAGTCTTGAGTCCAAGAGCTGGACTCCATTTAGTGGAAAAATATTGACACATCCTACAAGATATATCCTACCTATGCAAAATAAGTAGGATACAGCAAGGATCAAAGCTCCATAAAGACACTGAAACTAGCAACATGTTGAAATATATATGGGGCTGCTTCTCTGAATATGAATGTTATTTAATTTAATAATTTGAATCTTTAACACGTCATAAAATATCTAATAAGCAAAGCTTTTGGTCCAGAACGAGCATCATACATACTAAACTACACCAAGCTTAAATAAGTGTACCTTAAAGTCAAAGTACACGTATTCATACGCCCACCCACGTATTCATACGCCCACAATCTACACAAGGCATAAAGTAGGCCAAGACAATTTGCACTTGTTTTATAAATACAGCACGCGAGAATTCGCCCTCCACACATTCTCCGAACGAACCCCCCCCCCCCCAACACGTCGCTTTGCCGATCCAGATACACGCAGACACAATGAACACACTGCGTCACGGATGCTCAAGAAGGTGCGCGCGCACCGGGATTTCTATATTCACACGGATTCGACGGGCACATGCAACCCCAGCCAGCGTTGGGAAGTGTTTACCTTACATCCGCGCGTAGGTGACCTCTAGAGAACCGGCGACCTCATCTCCGCCGTTGGGAATCTAAGAGGCAGCCTCAGGCTCCCGCCCCAAAAGCAAGGCGCGCCCGATCTGTTTACAAGCACCGACTCCTCGAAGGTGGCGCCCACCCACCTATTCCCTCCCTCCGCCAGCACACGCGGGCTGGGCCAACGCCGCACCGCAGTCAGCGGGTTGGAGCGCGCCTGCTCATCCTAGTCCGCCTGGCTGACGCTGACGCCTCTCTCGCCCGCCCGCTCCGCAGCTTACGGCTGCCGGGGCCCATCACGCCTGCAGGCTGCAAAGGGCGCGCCACAAACCCTCCGCCGGCCCCAAGCGCCGCCGTTGGTCTAGCGGGCGCCCCACCCCTCCCAGGCCTACCCCACCATCTCGCTCTCCTACCTGAGGTCAGGATACCCGGCCTGCGGGCCGCCCTCCCGCCGCCCTCAACGCTGAGCAAGCTAAAGAGCAAGCGAGAGGCAAACGGCAGCCCCTCCCCGCTCTCTTATTTTGCCGGCTTGGGGCGGGGATTGGGGTTGGCGTGGCTAGGCGGAGAGCCGCTCCTCCTGCCGCGGTCCCGCCCACCGGTGCCTTCGCTAAGGCCTCCCTTATTTCCCGGTCTGGCTCTAACCGTGGGAAATGCAGAGCGCGTAAACTGGTTTTTGCCTTCTCTTAACGGCGCCGTTTTTCTCCCACCCGTCTTTGGTCCCTTGGCCGCCGCCGCCTTTCGCGCATTTTTGTTTAGTCACGAGCTGATGGAATTTGTGAGGTCATAAAGAAGGAAAAGAAGGTTGCCGGCATTTGAAGGACCGAACTCTTTTTCTCCCTATCTCAATCCAGGACATTCTTAGTTAGAAATAAAGCCCGTACGTTCTCAGGCACGTAGGCCTCCATTTTCCTCCGCAGGTGGCTGACCGGTCCTAACCCTAAACTGTTACTACTTGGATGGGAATCTTTTAGGCTGTTGGTGGCTGGAGAATTTTGCGAGCTGAAGTTCCCGTATCTTAAAAGTTTCCAAGTTTGAAAAGTATGTAGGACATACCAGGGCTGGTGTATTTCGCTGGAAAATTGAAAACATCCTGGAAGAACACAAAGATTTTCTTTCCTGTTGTCAAGAAAGCTGTCTGGACAGGTCAATAAAATCACTAGGATTCAAAGTCAACTTTTTTCCTTTATAATAATGCTTCCCAAACGGGATAAATTACCCATTATTGTGTAGAAGGGTTTTTTCCCCCTTTGGGTAACAATGCATGAACCTATTACCCACCACAAGATGGATATTTTAATTGACTTAAAGATTGCCGGTTTTCTATTGAGACAAAAATTGATCAATGGATATTTTGTTGAAATAACATGAACATTAGTCAGTGGTGTTGTTTTTATAACGCAGGTAGTCCTTGAGTTAGGATTATTTGTTCAGCTACGTCAGTCCTGAATGAAGGAACTTAAGATGGTCCTCTAAGTTTGATAACTTTCTGATAAGCTGTTTTGGATAATGAGGGAAAAAGTTTGTGAAGCATTATTTTATGCTTCTTTTTTGAACTGAAAGTTGACAGAGTTTTCTTCTTCTTGTGCCATATTTCCATTTTTTTATTTATGTATTTTATTGTTCTTCCAGTCATTATGAATGGTCCCATTTTCTGGCCAGGTTTTAACTAAATACTCCTATGCCTTCTTAATACTATTATTTCCTTCCTGGATAGACTTAGTCATCTGTTGTTGCTATAAATTTCCCTTCTTTGGATTTTTTAAAAAACAAACCCTGAAATGTTGACTAGGCTGGTGACAGCTCTTGGTGGGTGAATGAAATATTTCAGTTTCAAACAAATTGTGAGTTATCCAAATGTTTTTATTGATACATTTAAATAGAAAGGAAACATATACTTAAGTAACTATACCTTAGTGTGTTTTTTAAATTCAGGCTGAGTAAAGTCTTCTAAAGTTAATTACATTTCTCAGTAGTCCAGATTTCATCTTGCTGTTCTTGTCTCCTTTTCACTTTGACTGATTTAGCCATCAGCTCTTCCTTAGAAATTTTCTCCTTTTCTCTCTCCAAATGTTTATGCCTCAGTGGTGGCTTGTTGGTTGCAATTCTCATTTCACTTAAACATCATGACATATGAGGTAACTTAGGATGATAGGAACTAGCATTAAAGCTAATTCATAAGTTTCATGGGCTTATAAGAATTTCAACATGGGATTTCTCAATTCTTTTCCAGGATACGATTTAAAGTTAGTATATCATTGACTACACTAAGTCTTTGTGTTGCAGGTCTTTGGGCACAGTGTGTGTGTGTGTGTGTGAGAGAGAGAGAGAGAGAGAGAGAGAGAGAGATGGCAGGTGGACCAAGGCAGTCATAGGATCCCACGATAAAAAGCATCCATGAAAGAGACCTAAAACAATTTGTTAATGGGGAAAGGACCTATATACTTAGGACCCAGATTTTTAGATTGTTGGGTAGATTGCATGTATTTTGAAGAAAGGTATACTTGGTCGCCCACTTTAAACTCCTTTGGTTTGGCATGCTTTTTATCAGCTTGCCATTTATAGGCTTCTTGTGCTTCCTCTAGCACTTTGCAGGCTACTGGCCACATATTTTGCATTTGTTGTATTCATTCTGACAGACGTTTGGGGGTTTTCCAGAGGTAGTTTGGGGATTGCCACATAGTCTTGGCCCAAAGCAACTTTAAATGGAGTAAACCCAGTGCTGCTATGCAATGAATTTATATACCACTTCTGCAAATGGTAGGTCAGTCCAATTATCTTGTTGATAATATAGCATTTGAGGTATTGTTTTAAAAAGAGTTGGCTCTCTTGCACCCCCATTTGTTTGAGGGGAGGAGCTTAAGCCTTGGACAATTCCAGTTAGTTTTAAAAACTTGCACCAAGACCACGAAGTGAATTGCACCTCTTGTTTTGAAATTATGCTATCAGGGATGCCATAGAGTCTGTACATATGTTGGATAAAGAGTTTGGCTAAGGCACAGGCTGATGAGATCTTTGGACATGGGATAAAGTAGACCTGTTTTGAGAATAGGTCCATAACCATTCAAATCACGGTATTCTCTGCGCTGTCAGGCAATTCTACTATAAAGTCCATGGACATTTCCTTCTAGGGTACATGGGAGTTCGCCACTGGTTGTAAGAATCCCATGGGCTTCCCTGGCCATCTTTTTGCTGAGGCACATACTGGGCAGCTATCCACATAGCTCTCAATATCTTTTTTGAGGGATGACCACCAAAATTGTCTTTCGTTAAATACAGGTTTTTTACAAATCCAAAGTGCCCCACTGCTTTTGAGTTGTGGCAGGTTTGTAAAATCCTGGCTCACAAGGAGGCAGGGACATAGAGCTTTGCCCCACCCAAGCAAGTCTGTCCCTGAGGGTACATTGCTCCTTGTGGGCTATTAGAGCTGATTTTAGTTAATTTAGCATTTCACCGGATATGTCTGGTTTGATTTTCTCTGGGCCCTCCTAACCACTGCTGCTGCCAGCTTGTTAGAATGAATGGCCAGACAGACTATTTGGGTCTGGTACAATTGTATTGCAGTAACCTGGACAGGGCATCTGCTAGTTCTTCCCCCCTGGAATACAGAGTAAGGAGAAGTTAAACCAATTTAAGTACTGTGCCCATCGGGCTTGTTTTGGGAATAACTTTAGTGGGGTTTTTAAAGCTTCCAAATTCTTGTGATTCATCCATACTTCAAATAGGTGTTTAGCCCCTTCTAAGTGCCATCACATCAGTAACACCCATCAGACTGCATAAGCCTTCTTCTCCCCATACTGCCCACCTCTGTTCTGTATCAGTTAGTTTTTTGGAGGGGTAGGCACAGGGTTGAAGGATTCCTTGGGGGTTTTCTTGTAACAATACAGCTTCTACAGCCACATCACTAGTGTCTGTTTCAATCACAAAGGGGGCATCAGTGTTCGGATATCTTAGCATGGGTTCTGCTGCAAATAGCCACTTAAGTTTCTTGAAGGCTGCCTGGTCCAATTAAGCAGCAATGCTTAATTCTATGCCTTTAAAATTGTATAATAGATACCACTCATAACTGTGGGATACTACGCTTACTAAATCTCTTCCTGTCACACAAATCTAATGTATCATAATTATGTATACTCTGATCCAAATTAAAAAAAAAAGATTCTTTACTGGTCAATAGTACTTTCCTGTGAACAATTTAGCATCACATCTTTGAAGATTTTACAGTATATCTGAGTTGAGGACTTGGCAAGCCACAAGCTACTGACATTCTAGATCAGTGGTTCTCAACCTTTCCAATGCCACGACCCCATAATACAGTTCCCCATGTTGTGGTGACCCCCAACCACTTATACATCACTGGGTGCCAGGGGCGTGGCCAAAGAAAAGGGGGAAAAATGGTGGACAGCCTTGTTTAGCGACCCCCGTGAAATGGTCGTTTGACCCCAAATGGGGTCCCGACCCACAGGTTGAGAACCACTGTTCTAGATAGTAATAACTCCATGACAGTATAAACAACAATAAATGTATAGCTGTTTCATTATGACATCACGGTATTGCTTATGCCTCTGTAAATTAAAAGGCATGTTTCATTAAGTTTAAATCATTAATATAACTATCAATAGCTATTAAGCATATTAAAGCTGTTTCAAAATGTCACCAAAATATAGAATAAGGCAGTATAACATTTGGTACAAACCTATTAATAGCTTTAATTCTATTGCAGCGAGCTAAAGTAATAAACAGTAAAGAGCAAATGTGACTGTAGTCTAAAATGAGACTGACATAAAATTGAAATTTATTTTTTCTGAGAAAATTTGAATTTAGACTATTTTATGTTACTAACAAAGGAACTACAGAGCACAGAAAAAATCTTTAAAATATTTCATTTTGATTAATGAGAGGGTTAGAAATTCTAATGTTGAAATGTTTTATCAGTCTTTTTTTAACCATCCAAAATTTTATTAATTTTTTTATAAAGCATAAAATACAAAAATATAAAGATGAAAGTAAAATAAGGGAGGAAAAGGGGAAGAGATAAAAGTGTAGGGTAGAGTCTTTACAGTCTTGTAGGAAGATCCACAAGGGAAAAGAGCAAGAACCATCTTTGTAGAATTACAGGAGACCATTTAACATTTTGAATCCAACTCCCTTGTCACTAACATCAAAGCAAACATTCCGCATAGCCTAAGCTTTGCTTGAGCAGATCCAGGGAAGAGAACCCACAACTACTTGATTAATTGGATCTATTGTTAAACTGTTCTAATTGCTAGGAAATGGTGTTCTTATAATCAATCTGCTTTCCTATAATGTGTGTTTGGCACTCTTACATAATAGTTAACAGGTTTTGATCTAGTGTCTGTCACATCCTTTCAGGTAGTTGAAGAACAAGATATCCTGAAAAACATCCAGAATATTACATGTATCTGTCAATTAAAAGAGCTTATCCCTCTTATATTTTGCACTGTGGCTCATAGTGAGGTGTGCCCTTTATTTATAATAATGCATAGATTTATACCAAAGTGTCATATCATTTTGAATTGAATACAGAAGAGCTGTTTTCAACACACTATTTTGTAGGAGAAGGAGTGGCAGAACCTGGGGTCAGAATCAAAAGAGGAATCAGCCTATCAACTCTACATAGCCACAAATGAACTAAGTCTAATACCGCTTGAATTCCGTTGACCCTTGTCCAGCATGTATAGGCATGAGTAGCAATAAAAAAAATCCTGTTAAAGATCAAGTAGAATGGATGCTGCTTTTTTGCAGACTCTCTTTTATTCAAGAGCATGTTCAATTTTTATGCCAAAGCTTTGGTTGACTGGAATGTTACACATAATTAAACAACATTTTGTATAGAAAAAAATATATAACATATACATTCATAGGTGAGCAAGACAAACATTGTCCATATTAAAAACTTGTATTTTAGAAGATGAATGCAATGAGAATTGTGAACCCCTTCATATATTTGGTATCTTAATAATTAATAATTGCTTATATAATCCCATATAATATGCACAGCAATGCCATGGCAAGCTTTATAAGCAATTACACTTTTATGGAAAATTACTGAATGAGAAGTATTTTTATTCTTATAAAGGCACTGAATCCAGGCCTCTTGCAGCATAAAGGAAAATATTGCCATTCATAAATTACAGAGTTACTGCAAAGACCGAAAATATATTAACCATTCAATAACTGAACAGGATATATAAGGTAAGTCAAAAGACTATTAATATATAGATGTTGACAAACCTGAATATTTTTTAAAAAACCACAGTTCCAGTTTTTGGGAGATCTGATAATGCTGATTATTATCTTTAAACATTGTCCATGAGTAGGCATGATTAAAAGATAGGTGATAATGCCTATTTTCTATATGGGGTTATGCCCATACATTCAGTGATGAAACAGTTAATTTCATAGAACTGGTTCTGTTGCAACCTCTTTTCATTTGAAAATACAACAAATGACAGCATGTACAGATATATAAAATTACAATCATGAATGTAAACAGACCAGCTGTTTCTGCTTTTCTAAAGCCCTGTTAACCTTTATAGGAATATACTTTAAACAGTATTCTGCAGAAACCTGTGTTGCAAATATTTTTTTTAAAAAAAGAACCTTTGGAGAGTATGTAAACAAGAAATAAATTCATAAATAATGTAATCAAAATTAATTCATGCCCTATACTAAAGCATAGGTTAGAATAAACTTGCAAAAATTCTAGATATTGATGTAAACAATGTGGTAAATCATGTATATATTGCCCATGACTGACTCCCAAAATGCTTCGTATTCTAATAGGAAAGAGGTACTTCAATACCAAGACTGAGCACAGATTTGGACAGTGCAACTTTAGGTAAGAAATCTCACTAGAGGTACCCCAATATAATAGAAAAGGATGCAATGCTTCCAGAAACCATATTTAAATTGAAGCATGGAGAGAGGTTACAGTCTAAACCTTGCATTTAACAGATGAAAGACTGAACAGAATGGAGTTAACACCAAGATTTTGTTCCCTATATAACTGCTGCTGACAGAAAATAATGACATAGGATGAGAATGAGTTTTTAACTTAGTAGTGAACATGCATGAAATGGAAATAAAATACATTAGCATTAAAAATGTTTTCTTTTTGTTTTTCCTGGCCCTGACTCTTGTTAAGTTAGAATAAATCTTCAGTGAAGCTGATCTGTGAACTGAAACCAAATTTAACTTTTAACGATACAATTGTACAATATTATATAGATGCTATTAGTCCTTACATGACTCCAAATATAAGACACATTAGCTTTAGAGTATTAGATTCTACAGCAGGTTATTCAATTTTTCTTGCATTTTCCAAATCCGAGAACCTAAACAGTTTTCATCTATAAATCAAACAACATGCATGTGTACCGGAAATAAAGTATAAGTTGCTAAATTCTAGTTTAGGGATCAGTATTCAGAAAAGTAGCCATTAACCAGAGCCATGTTAATATTTCTTGGTAATGAAAAAATGCTTACTGTAAACTTTTAAAAGGCCTATTGTAAATCTATCTCCAAATAACGGCCTTTTAAAAATCTTTTTTGTCTTCTCTCTCTTTCTAGCTGTGTCTGCAATACAAACTACTATGCTAGGCTGTTTTGGTTTTGCATTGTGTGCATATTTTAGACAACAATGATGGAAATATTTTGTGCAGTTTTTATATTTAAGATATCGGTACCTTAAAATTACAAGTGTAAACTTTGTTGCTTTTTATATTTTAGAAAGGAAGTCACCTTCAACCTGAAAATATACAACTTGTACATTCTAGAAATTATTTTATATACAATGAAACATACTGTGTGGCAAATATGATTTCAAAAACTGCCTTTTTCTTTAAGGATTTGTTAGTTATAGAAGAGGCAATGAAGTGTTCCTTCAAGTTTTGACTGAAGTGCTTAGTTTCTTTTCAGAAAGCATTTTACTAACCACACTAGTATTATTTAAATCCTTTTTGTCTTCTAATGGTGCAGTCAAATATCAGGAACGGAAGAGCAAGTGGCATCTGTACAGAAACAAAATATTATTTCAGTCAAATTTTAAGCTGAATTCATAACACTCATTCTGAATTCAAAACAATTTCTACAAATGAGTTCAAAAATTTTCTCTAACACCTAGTCTGTCTGAAACTTGCACTGTACTATAAATAACTGGGTTTAAATTCAGAATGGTGTTTTGCACACCATTAAAATACATGCTTATATTTTATGAACAAAACTAAATCAGAACAGCTGAAAGTCCTTTTAATGCTTAAAACTAAGCTCCTTGTCAAACCTGACTAGATTAAGAGTTTACTCAATTTTTTAAATTATTTAAATGTGTGTTTATCCATTTTTTTGAATCATTTTTAAAACAAAGTTCTGGATATATGTTGTACATCACATATCAATTTAAAAATCGGTAATCCTCCACTAAACTTAAAATTATAACTACGCATAACTTACAGAAATGTTTACATAATTGGCCTCACATATGGCTTTTAATCATATGGCTTTAATATTTAATGGAATCCCAAGAAAGGAAAAGGGCTGGAAGCAGACTGAACAGTTCTGGCAAATGATAGTGAGTCAAGATATTATGAGCAACAATGTCACACAAAATACTTTCAACTATAGTCAGTTAAATCAAGATCTGCAAGATATGGGGAACACTACTTCTGGATCATTCAAACCAAGATTGCATTTATTGAGTAAATGAGTTGTGATATTTTGCTTAATGACTGTTTTACTTAATAACTGAAGATTGTTATCTCACTTCTGGCTGTAAGTTGAGGACTACCAGTACTTCTATGTTATCAGTTAAAGTAAAAAAAGTTTTGCCTAATAAAACATTTCTCATCTTTTTAATTCAATGCTGATCAGATAAAACAGAAAATCAGGTTTGTAAAGATTTCAATTAGATTAAAAGTATATAAATTTGATTGTTAAAAGTATGACCAATTAAAAGCTTACTGATATGAGAATATTTAAATTTCTTCAAGCATTACTTACCTGAGGGGCTTCGCTCAACAGATCTCCGCCCTGCAAAGTCTTCAAATGTTGTTGGTTGGATTTTAGCAGGGGTATATGTATTTAAAGAACACTTTCTTTCTGTAATGGATTCAATAAATGACGGAGAACCTAAAAGATTAACGGGGGTAGGATAAGTTCTGTAACAAAACCACATTATTTTTTTGAGCACTGCTAAGGAGAAATTTCCTTAGTAGAGAACAATCAACCTGTGGAATGGCTTGCCTTCAGAAGTTGTGGGTGCCCCATCACTGGAGGCTTTCAAGAAGTGACTGGAGAGCCATTGGTCTGAAATGGTATAGACTCTCCTGCTTGAGCAGAGGATCGGACTAGATGACCTAGTCTATTCTATGTCTATGTGAATCTTTAGGAAACAAAATTACTCAATCTGCCTTAGATCATGAACCACATCATTGAAACATTGGACAGATCATCTTTGAAATGGTAGTGGAAGTACACTTTCTGGAATTTTCAGTCATCAGTATGAGCAGTTTACTGTTGTATATTTGGCTATAGTTTTTTTTTTAATTCATTAGATTTATCTCTTGTTCTTTTAGGAGTTCCAGGCACTATACATGATGTATTATTTTCTAGTGAGTTTCCATGGAATTAAATCTGGGTTTTCCTCTCATAAGCCACACCTTACCCTGTATATAGGTAGTCCTTGACATGAGATTACTTCAACGACTGTTCAAAATTATGACCAAATGGACTTACAACCAATGCCTAAAATTAAAGCTGCTACAGGGCCTCACAGGTTGTGAACAAAATTTGAGCACTTGGCAATCCACAGACCACAGGGAAGCTTGTACCCTCCCCCCCACACCTAACTTTCCCCCATCCTGTCCCATCTGATACCTGCAGGCCTGCTTCCCACTCTGGTAGGTCCCACACTTCTCACTCAACATGGATTGGTCACTCACTTTTTGATAGATTTCTGGAAAGCAGTCACTCTGCCATAGGGCTTTTCTACACAATGGAGGTCAAATGATACTATCCTGGAAGTGGATGCCATTTTGGAACAGCCACAATTCATTGTGGCCACTGCCAAAATAGCACCCACTTCCAGGCTGATGCCACATGGGTTCCACTGTGTAAGGTGGTCGTGTGGCAGAGCAGCTGCTTACTGAAGATCCATTAAAAGATAAATGACTAATCTGTGATGGGGTGAGACCCAGCAGGTTGAGAAACAGGAGCAAGGCCTACAGGAACTCACTGAGGTGGGAAAGCAAGTCCAAGGCCTGTAAGAACTGTGTGGTGGGAAGCAGAGCACCGGATGCTGAGGAAGTAATGAAGGCCTAGGACAGACCACGTAAGATCTGGGAAAGTATTGCAGTGCAGGTCTGGGCCTGCATTAAGCCTCCCAGGGCCTTCCCCATGCTCTGCTTAACAACCCACAACAGGGAGAACGGATTGGGTTCATTAAGCAAGATGATCACATAGTTGTCTCACTTGACAATCATCAAAACTTGCAACCGTAATGGGTAGGCTTATGTGATATTGTAATACAAGTAGTCATAGATCAAGGACTACCTGTATTACAATATCATATAAGTTGGTATATGGAAAAGTTTGTAAGTTCTGTCAAGTCTTCAGATGTAGGTGAAGCTGATTTAAAAAGTAGTCTTGAACAAGAGACTGTTGTTGGGGCTGGAATAATACAAGAAACTTAAGATTGTGGGGATCTTCAGTATTTGCAGAGATGGAAATAACCTTTGTTATTATATTCGAAACACATAAATTTGGCAATTGTATAGTATTGTTGTTAAGCAAGATTCAGCTGAGTGAATCTATCAAAATCCTAAAGCAAAGGAGAAATAAGAAATGCATATTTGTTTGGAAATTGTTTGGCATCCACTAAAGGCCTGGTCATCAAAATTTTTCAACAGACCTTAGGATGGAATATGTACCCTGCATTGTTTGGAATCAAGTATTTTTAAATTAAATCTATACAAACAAACAAGCAAATTAATACAATTGTAAGGTAGCCCCTTCTGTAATCTAATTTTATGGCTATAGAGTGTTATTTATCTTAGACACTGTTTTGTACACTTAGATTCTGTTCTTCTAAACCTTAGGTATATAAAGAGATATGTAAGCAACTCAAAGTGCTAATTCTCATTTTTTAATGATTTGTCTACACTTAGCAATGTTTGGCAGTTTGAAAAATAGAATGTATAGTAAATAATTACGAAAGGAAGCTGTAGATGTATGTGGAAAACTTTCACACGAGGTTGAGGCTGTAATTGAGGCAAGAAATTCATCCACTTGCTTTAAAGACAAGGAGTTATGGAGAGTTTCTAGAGGACAAATTGAAGGCACCATGGAATATAATTCAAAGCCTAAAAAAGAAAAAAAAAACCCACAGATTTTTACCATAAAAGCCCTGATGCACTGAATTCTTTTTTTGGGTAGTAATCTACAGAGGTTTAAAGGTACAACAGAAAAAAAAAAAAAAACTACCCAAGGCCATGTGTAGTGAAATACTTTTCAACACAGCGGATTTCTGATTTTGACAATTCTTTTGTTCTCATCAAAAGTAGTTCCAAAATTTTGCCTGATTCTATAATGTAAATTTTCAGAGATAGTACATGTCAAACAGGAGAATAAAGAATGGCCAAAAATTACTCACTCAAATATATACATATAAATACACTGACCACTTCACAAACTAAAGCAATACTTAGACCAAAGGATTCAGAGGTTATTTCACATGAAACTCATAATTCTATATAAACTTAATAGAACATGCATATTTAAATTAGGCAGCAATTTAACCATAACTTACATAGCTGTAGTCTTACAGTCACATATATATGCATTTTAGCAAAAGCCCTATTTAAGAATTAATTAAGTTAATGTTGCAATATATCCTAAGCATTTATATAACCAATGAAATTGTTTCCCACCCAAATATGAAAATAATTTGGAAGATTTTAAATTATACAATTCTGAGTTAAAATTTAAGAAAGCTCCTTTCATAAAATATCAACGTGCAAGACTTTACATGTGTTAAATACCTGCCTCATTAATTATATAATGATTTTAGACAAAACTATAGGTATTCTACTATTTAATAAAAAAACTTAACAAATAAACAAATAGTTGATTGTGTGTATATGTATACATACAGACATACATGAGAAATTTAAAGGAATTTCATGAATTGATTATGACAGTGGCCCACAAAATGATGTCCATATATTATATTGTTTAAAGAATGAAACTGTATTTCATTCAATAATTTAGATCTCTAAATTATTTTCAAGGCATTTATTTCAAAAACAAGGACACATTTAAAATGTAATATTAATGTTAACTCACAATCTCTCAATGATTTCAATATCACTTTTGCTTCCTTATTTTTTTAAACCTATAATATTTCATATGTAAAGTAATATTAAGGATATTTGGGCATTTGGTTTAATCGTAGCAATTAAGTTTCTATGGATAATTCAAATTAATTGTATTTAATGCTTGGTAAAATAAACTACAACAGTATACATGCAGGCAAGCGCAAACCCTTTCTTTGCATTACAGTAAATTCCACAAGAACTGCAGCTTTTCTTTACCAGAGAAAAATCTATAAACACAAGTAACTCCAGGATTACAAGAAAGAATTTTATAACAAACTATTTTTTCTCTTAAAGATCTCATGCCTATCCAAATGCTTAGATATCAGTACCTTGGAAAAAATGTACAGGAAAATTGTATTATAATTAGTATCTCTCCTTGGCTATACTGTGGGAACTAAGTAGTTACACATATACTCAACCTTTAGCAGTTCTATTATTTTATTTATTTATTTATGAGACTTATATACCGCTTTAAGTGCAAGCACTCTCTAAGCGGTGTACACCAGTAAGCAATGTATATATATATTTACATTGCCCCCAACAATCTGGGTCCTCATTTTACCTACCCCGGAAGGATGGAAGGCTGAGTCAACCTTGAGCCGGTGAGATTTGAACCGCTGACCTGCTGAACACAGTCAGCTAAAGTGGCCTGCAGTACTGCACTCTAACTGCTGCGCCACCTAATTATCTAATTATCAAATGCTCTTAGATATTTCCTAAGAGGCTGTTTCTATGTAAAAGAAAAAGAAAACTTCTTTCTTAAGTTAATGTCTTAAAAACAACCCCAGCTTTTAATTAAACAATAGTTCTAGGGTAATTTTTATTGCAAGACATATCTCTCTCTCTCAAAATGGAAGACAATGAAAGGATTAGCGCAGCAACAGAAAGCCACCCTGCCATCTTACATTTGAAAGCTATAAAGACATACCACTGGAGCCTAGAAATTCCTCAGAGGAAACCGACCAGCACCTATAGAGGTCTGGATGCTCTGCATAGAGACCCAGAAAAGGTAAAGCACTGTCAGTAGGTACTGATTTCACCATATTTCTTTTACTCAAGATGAAAAAAAAAGGAAAGACTGAAAAAAGGTTAGGGTTACCAAAGTCAAGAGAAAGAGAGGCTCCAATGAAAAGGTGAGGACAAGACAATAAACCACACCTATCCCTAAGAGTCAGTACCAATGTATCAAAGAGTATCTTTAACATTCAAATTAATACCTAAAGCATACAATAATTTATTAAAAGATATTAAGAAACGTATTTAATAGATCAGAGAAAGCTTTGTAATGTAGCTGTGCATAATATACAAAGTATATTAAGAACATAATTTAGATGAAATGTATTTAGCTATTAAACAGAATTTTCTTGCTTATGCAAATATGTAATAAACATTAAAAATCCAATGTCGTTGCTTTGCATTATTGCATTAAGCTTCTTTCTCTTTTTAGTTGGCTTAATTTTAGAGCTCAAACATGTTTTCACATGTTTCAAACAAATTTCCAAATCCATACAGTATTTAAAATATATACAAAATGTCATTAAAATATTTTTCATAACTAAAGTAGACCTGTTATAGGCAGTCCTTGCTTTCTGACTGTTGCTTAACAACCATTTGAAGTTATGATGGACTCAAAAAAAGTTACAACTATCCTCAAGTTACAATTGCTGCACCATCCTATGGTCACATAATCACAATTCAGATGCTTGACAATTTGCAACCTGATGCACTATCCCATGGTCACGTTTTACAACTTTTTTGCCATTTTCTGGCAAAAAATACCCATTGGATAAGCTGGATTTGAAGTTACGAACATGTGATTTGCTTAACAACCATTTAATTTGCTTAACAACCATAAGGAGTTACTTAGCAATCATTGTAAAAACAGTCATAAAACCAAGTCCAGTCAACCTAGGACCACAACGAATTATGACCAAAATTCCGGGCTCAACTATATGATCATAAGTCAAGTATTTCCTGCATTATTTAGATTGTTTCTAATAATCAAATGTATCAAAGAGCTAACTATAATTCTGTAACTTCAGTAAGACCCCACATTTCTTTTTACTTATTGATCTTTTTCTTACTTAATAGTACTGGAAAATTTTGAATTAAGGACTGAGGGAGCATTATTATTGTGTAGCAGTCAGTACAGTTTCTATAATAAAAAGATTTACTCTGGAAAAGTTTGTGCAAAATGTTTCATATGGGAACTGAAAAAGGTTGTTTTCCCCCAACATTTAATTTTAACAACAAGAAGAACAGTTTTGAATTCATTCACAGTCTTGAAGGGAATGCAGCTATATATATTGATTAAATAAAAACCGGTTCCATCATAATGGGAAGATGGTTTAAATAAGGGAAACAACTTGTGATAATGTTAGTATAGTGTACTGTTTTAACTTTTATTTTAATGCAATGCAATTTCAAGAAAGATGATTGATAGATTTTATTTTAAATGACAATTTAAATTAACAAGGTGCTTTTATCAATAACAATTAATGAAATTAAATAAACAGTAGCCCAAGTTTAAAAGTAAAGTAGCGTGGGGTGCTGAAGACAAAAAGTAGAAATGCCTTTTCTTTTTTGCCTTCTGCAATTCTCAACACTATCTGATGGTTGCTATTGGAAACAAAATGCGTAAGAAAATGCACTTTGATCTGATTTAGCAAGACCTTTTTTTATGCTGTGGTACAAAGGTTCAGGATGAAAATATCTAATGCAGCAAGAAGGCAAAGAATATTATGAAGAGAGTCCAAGGAGCTTTTAAAAGCATGTATTAAGATGTATTCATTGCAACAGTCATTTGAATGAATGTGTATAATTAGACTTTAACTAATTTTTCATATTATTTCCCCAAAAGATTTGATGTGTGAATTTAAAAAATGAAATTAATATATGAAAAGAGATTAATTAATTGCCATACCTAATAATTGGATAAATGTCTATGTGCTTAAGATGGAATGTAGAAAGATAGTGGGATAATAATATGCATCCCATTTTTGAGAGGGGTGAAGCAAGGGAATATTTTTTTTTTAAATAAAAGCAAAACATACCATTGGTTGGGTGTCGAGCAAATGTGATAGAAAACCTTTTAACAGCAGAACCACGTGTGGTGTCTGAGAAAGAGAAAAACAGGTACCTGAAATTCAAACCAGCTACCAGAGAAGAGGGACATTTCAAGAAAAGGCAGGAAGGTGGGAAGAAGGAAAATAAAAAAAAGGTTAGAATTAAGTGGCATGCAAAAGGTATTGGAAAATGTGCATAGGCCAAATAGATGTAAAAATAACTTTTGCTTGACATTAACTAGGATTTTAATGGAGTGCATGGATTTAAAGGAGTAACTGCAAATTCAATGCACAAAATTATGCATGATTGGCATTTAATGTTCAGGTAGTGACAGCAGAAAAAAGGTGTATGTATTTTTATTCTCAAATATGTTAGAAAATATTGCAATACCATTCAAAATTTTGTGCTGTCATTTCCATTAATTTTCCAGAGCCTAAACTATAATTTTAAAAATCTATACATTTTTCAAAACACTTTTGAAGTGATACTTCAAAACATTAAAATTTTGTATAGATTGTATTTCTTAAAGCTTTTATTCAGAAGATATGTTACAGAAGAACTGAAGAAACATTAACCTCTACCTAAAGCTGAAATATAGGCAGTAAGATTCACTGTACTTAAAGTGACAAATAATAACCTAGCCTTCTTCTCAGTGAAAAGATTTAGGCCTTTTTTAAAGTTTTCCTTAGTGTGCAATATAGAGGGCATGTGTAAATGTAAATGCATGTGCGAAAGTGTGCACATACCATCTATGCAGGCAGAAGAAGTCAGCTTTTTACGATGAATACGAGCATAATCCTGTAGATTAGGTGCACTTGAAGACCCCCCGAGCACTGAGGTGCTAAACAGGCTCGCACAGTGAGACCCTGATGGGAGTTAGAAAAAATACATACAAAAGCCAGGTGTTCTTCTATTCATATTGGGATGCATGCAGCATGCAAGCACTTTGATCTTACCACATAGAAGGCACCTTGTGGCATTGCCTTGGACAGATTTACATTATGCTTGTAGCATCTTAGTGATATTTACAGTAATTTCCTATAATAATTTGTGTTTAAAGTTCTTTTTACCAAAGATAAAAGTTCTTTTTACCAAAGGCTATCCTTAAATGAAGGATAAACAAACTTGGCAAAGGAAAAAGCAGGCAATGTAAAATAAAAAGAATGGAATTATAAAGTTTAGATTTCAGAAACTGTATTTGAACTGGAAAAAAAAGATAGAATTCTAGATACAGCAGAACTGAACGCATGTTCGTATGCAAATTTTCCTGGAATCCTTGAGTATTTATTAAACAATGTGCTTGTGGCTTACATCCATTTGGGTCTTTGGTAGATGGATCCTATGAAATATACCCAGTAGTTAAATTCACTCTATTTGTATTAAAATCTATTAATTTCAAATTAATACTGAAATTGTATAAAACAACTATGTTTTTGCTAATAACTAAAAACTTACTTATAAAAAGTACTATTAATATAAAATAATACAAGGTTTTTTCCTGTGGCGTATCTACACTATCTAATTCACATTTAAAAGTTACAAAAGAGGCTACTACTGTAGATGCAATTTATTTTTTTCAACTATTGATATAATGTGTTTCTCAATGGAACTTATAACAGGGGAAATTTCCTACCATATTTGAAAACTGATCTATATAACTTTAACCATATATGCCCATAACTGCAAGGAGTTGCAGTAGCTATTAATGACCTAACAAAAAGCAAAACATTACTAGCACCTGTAATGATGAAACCCATCCAATGTAAATGAGTGCTACATCTGTAGCAAAAATTTTGGAATCAAAGATGCACCTTCACTTATACACCTAAGTAGATCAGGTGTTTTTTTCACATTGACAATATGATATAGCATAGAGAGGAAGACTAAAATTAGAAAAAGTAAATTCAAAAAACAAAGAGTACCTGATGTATAAACATTTTTCTAAGGAAACCTCTGATATGATTACACCAAATAAAGGCTGTATTGAGGGACTAAAGAATTTAATAGAGAAATACAGATTTTTTTAACTGGTTACACGTCAAATTATTTGACAATATTTATAATTCTGGATGTTCTGAAAGTGTTATACAAACTGGATCATCTATATCTAAGAACACAAATAATCAACAATGTACTACTGACAACATATTAGGTTGCATGAAGTGAATTCTGAGCCTGAAAAGCCTCTACATTTGCTCTGTTAGAAGACTAGTTCCACTGAGATGGTTCTCTTTCCCAGTTAAACAGTGTATAAAAAGAATTTTAGCTTTGAAAACTGGTAACTTGTGATGACTTTTTCCTTTCTTCCTTCCTTTTTGGATTTGTGAAATCTTTTACTGTGAACCTGTAAAGCATTAATGGCTTTGTTGGTTTCTGATTTTTATTGCAACCCGCCCTGGAAATCTTTTTAGGTGAAGAAGGCAATAATGCTTTCAATACTGATAATACAGTAAAGTATGATTTAATAAAATCAGTATCCTTTTGCAGTATTATTTAGAAAACAGTATATGGATTAAAATAAAATGTGCTATAAGACAGCAGTTACAATAGCTATCTATGTTTATATACTGAAAGCTGTAGTTGATGGAATTTGGGGTAGTGCAAAGAATTTTTACTGTTGTTTTAAAAGAAAAAGGAAGATAGCAAATAAGGAAAATAAGAATGGCTTGATTTTCAAGAGCATCTTAATTGATACAAAGGAATATCATCCCAATAATCTTGGTATTGATCCAATGATCAGTTGGTATTGAAAATAGTGTGGTGCCAAATTGCAGACCTACAAGTTTATCAGAACAATATATAACCAGGGTACTTCTATTTCAAAAAATTGGGATTTTATTAGATATACATACCTATACTACTGGTCTTTTGTTCCACAATTGTTCTTGGAGGTCGAAAAAGACTATTATTTTCTGATGGTGCCTGGACATAAGAAAGAGATAAATAAGGAAAGCAGTCTAATGGGCTGGTTGAATCCATTAAACTTGAAACAGCCACCTGCTAAGACAGACAAGTATTAAAAAGCCATACAATGGGTTAGTAGAAATACCAACATAATATGAAAGATCATGCAATTATTGCTGAAGGGGTTCCATTTCACTTATGAGATCCTTGCAATGAAGTGGTGCAAGCAGGCATTCATGATAAAACAGGACAGACACCAAGAAAATTATGAAAACACAGATCATTTTAGTTTAGTTTACCAAATGAATACTCCTAAACTGCGCCTGTATTGGAAGGGGGGGAAAAAAAGAGGAAACACAGACAAGCTGATGAAGTCACCATACAATCACTGAACCATATGTAGCCCTACGAGAATGAATTCCTGATGTTCAAATTTAATACTTAATTCTCTACATCAAAATATTTTAAAGAGTCAAGAGCAAATAGAAACAACATAGTTTCTAAAGAAAAGTTTTCACAACAGAACACCATCCATTGTTTAGTATAAACAATACAACTGCTTTAAAGTATTAGCCTTTTGACTAACGTATTTAACTAAATATACAATATTATATTCATTTTCCCATTTCAGCATATTTTATATGACAATGGGTGAAGTGCTGTGAGAAGGAGGAGGAGGAGAGAGGGGAGGGGGAAAAAGTATAAGGTGTGGAGAAAATAATGATTAGTACTAATGATTTTTTTTCCTGCACAGTTAATGACAACTGAAAATATTATCTATGTCTAACCCCAAATATAGCATAATCCAATTATTTCCAATGTCAGCAAAACAAAACAAAACCATTTAGATTTGCCTGTCACCAAATTAGATGCTCTGCTATTATTTATTTAGGAAAAAAAGCCTTGAAGAACAGCTAAGCCAGAGCCTAGGTCTGTTTCATTAGGCTACAACCCATAACAATCCATATAGTGCTGAAAGAAACCAATTCCATAACCAAATACGTTCATAAAAATTGTGTAGGAAAAAGTGAACAAAAAAAAAAGACATGCACTTGCTTTTTTCCCCCCCAGGCATTTTTGGAAGTAACTATTATTTTTAAAATCATATTTTAATGAAAGGTGAAGTAATTTACTTTGAACAAAATCCAGAACAAGGAATTAGATGTCCTTAAAGACAATTGGTTCCTGCTTGGAATGCACAGTAACGTTTAATGAAGTAAAGTTTAAAAACCTGTTGCCATGAGCCAAAAATACTGGATGTGAAAGCCAATGATTTAGGGGAGACAGGGGAAGAAGTGATTTGTTCCCCTGATCTGCGTCTTCGACGCCCAGTACCCACACCACTGGTATAATGCAGCCACTCTGGGCTAGACACACTCAGGGGGCTCTCTTCCTGGAAATGAGAAAGGGGGCAAAAAAACAGCAAAGCATGCAACGTTAGAGTCAGAGCTAAATGGTAAGAAAATAAAATATAGTTCCACTCTTTTCTAAATGGCTCGATTCTAACCAAACAAAACCCATCAGTAACTATTCAGCTACTGGTTTTGCTTCAGGTACATCAGCAGTATTAACGGTGATTTTTAAAAGTCTACACAGAAATGAGTAAAACTGTGTGTGTATGCATGTGTATTTTAGACATAAACAATAATTCTGGGTAAACATACATACAAACACATACATACACTTTTGCTGCATCCTATACCATTAATGCAGTATTCTTATGAAATAAAATTAAAAAATCTTTGGAAATTATATAACTGAACTTCGATAGCAGTAGCAGATAACTTCTTAAAGCTGAAGATATATTTTATTAACTTTTTCTAATTAGAAATCAGTGAAATCAATAGTCTGGTTAAGCCTCATTCTTCTTTTAGTTTTAAGTGCAGATAAAAGAACAAAACCAGTCACCAGTAAAAAAAATTTCCACATCAACGATGTTCCATACACACAAATCTCAATACAGTATATCACTTGAAAGATAGTTAAGTATCAAGTATCAGGATTAAGTTGACAAGGAATATTTTTTAAAAAAATAAATAACATTTTTTGTTTATAAATGACAAAATTACAAATAATTTACATTGATATACACTGATGGTAACAATCTCAGTGAGTAGAAGTCATTTTATCAAATTTTTTTGTAACAAAAATATTTTATTTTAAATAACATTTTTCAGTATTTTTCTTTGAGATGAAAAGAATTTGACAACATCCTTTAAATGCATACAAAGAATGCTTTCAAAAGAAATGTAATATAGTGTAACTGTAACAATATTTTCAGGCTTCCATATTGAAGTTTCAAATAACTACCTTCAGTAAATTAAGATTTTAATTGGTATAGAACTAATAGAACTCACATGTATAAATCAAAATCTAGAGAGGATAGGTATAATACTGTTATAGCAGATCTTTTTGCATCCTGAAAGAAAGCATGTTTCAAAAATATTCATATATTATTAAAAATTATAAGCTGTTGAAATTTAATAAAAGTATTTATGCTATTATAGTAATACATTTTTCCATTATTGTAAGTGACAAATGCTATGGAAATATAGTAAAGGAAGGACAGGTTACAGAATTTGGTTACAACAGACCAGCTAACTAGGAAGTGTTCTTGTGTCAAAAGAATTCAGTGCAACTGTTAGGTGAAAGATGGGAAGGCTCAAAATAACAAGACATACATTATGTACAGCAATTGTTGGAAAATCGAAGTTTATGTCACAAGATTTCACATTAACCGGACTGTGAATCCTGAACCCCTGGACCTAACACTGAATTGTCATTTGACAGAAGGAAGAGCCCCTACAAGTAAGGATTTGGAGACATCTGCAGCAACAGTTACTGGCTTCAAAATGGAAGTGTGCAATGTGTGCAAAGCACATTAAAAGGGGCTGAGGCTTTCATTTTGAAGCCAGTGACTGTCACTGTGGATGCTAATGAAGGCAGCTTACCTGATTATTTTTGCTACATTTAAGCATCATTTAAGCGATTCTCTCTGCCACCCCTCTGCCACTGTTCTTATAATGGTTACTAATAGACCTTTATAAGAAGACAAAACTTGCACAAAGCAGAAGATATTTTTTTAAAGACTGAGAGAAATGGCAGGTAATACAAAGACTGAATACTGCCAAAATCTTAAGACCTACAGCAGTCAAAAGAAGATTTTCTATAGTTCCAAGCATGCCATAAGAAACATCCATGGACAGTTTGGACAACTGACCACTTCTGCTGCGGAGTACAAAGCAGAAGGAGAGAAGGTTTGTTGTCAAACCACTACTTCCAGATTACCTAATGCCTCAGTTTTTCCTAAATAAACAATGCCAATTGCTCTTAGCTGTTTGGATTTTTTTTTCTCTTCAAGTCAGTTTTTGACTGCTTGCAATTGCCTGGTCTTGTCCCTGCAGTTTTCTTGGCTAGATTTTTCAGAAATGGTTTATTACTTCCTGCTTCCCTAGTCTGAGAGGGAATAGCAATAGCCCTTAGACTTATATAGCACTTCATAGTGCTTTACAGCTCTCTCTAAGCGGTTTACAGAGTCAGCATATTGCCCCCAACAATCTGGCTCTTCATTTTACCAACCTTGGACGGATGGAAGACTGAGTCAACCTTGAGCTGGTGATGATCGAACTCTCAGCAGTGAGCTGAATTAGTCTGCAATACTGCATTCTAACCACTGCGCCACCACAGCTCATGACTGGCCTTGCTTAAGACCAGCCAGCTGGCTTTTTGCCTGAAGTGGGACTAGAACTCATGAACTCCGGCTTTCTAGCCTGATGCCTTAACCATTACACCAAACTGGTTGCAGTACTTCTGTTTAAACTAGTTAAAAATACTAAAATTCAGTTACATTACATTGCCAAACGTTTTGGAATTACTGTACTAGTATTACTCTTTCCTCAGAATTAAAATGTAAAATATTAGCATACAGGATATGATGTAGTTTGGGGTTTTTCTTCTGCCATTGAAACCATTGATAAAAAGGTCAGTAAACATCTTAATCTGTTTCACTACTGAGAAATATGTTTATTACAGCAAATCTCTCTTCCTGAGTCAGACGACCACATTTTACGATTTTTTGTTAATCCATATTCCAAACGTCTAGGAGCATCTCAAATTTTAATTGCATGTAGAATCAGGTTTAGGTTCTCTATAGGGTCACATGCAGTTCTATAATTTAAAATTTAGGCTAAATTTTATTTTCATTTATGGCTTGCTTGTCTCTCTGATTCTTCTGATACATTTCTATTATCCTGAAGAAACATATTCTGAATCTAAAATATTGTAAACTTTTCTGTCCAACTTTTGGTTTTCTTTAGGTTTGAGATAAAATGGAACTGAGGTAAGTATATATTTGGCAATGTTTACCAGAAAAAAAATTAGAACATCTTCCAAAAACTATAACAGTAGTCTATTGGGAAGAATTTCAGCCTATTAATACTGCATTTCTGCCTCAGTGGAGAGTGCTTAATTTGGCCAGATTTGATGCTGTGCCATACCTATTTGATATTTTACATACTGTAGTTCAAATATTCTCAGCAGGTTATAATCATGTCATTAAAACATCCATGGTACAAAATAAATTAAGTAAGCAATTGTAAATAATCTTAAAAAGTTTAAACAAAAAAATAAAAATAGTAGAAATAATCAACCAAGCAATCAAGAAAGATGACATCATGTCAAGATAAAAAAGGCTTCTGAATTAATTTTTAAAAGCTTAATAAGGGTCAAAGAATGGAAGCAAGTACAATCTTTTGATGCAAGAGTAATTATGCCATACCTGGTGAAGGAAAGTGAGCACGTTATGCATGTATTGCTGTATTGTCAGTTTTACACAACCAGAAACACGGATTTAATATTCCCACTTTATCTAATTGTGCATGTAGGACTCAAAGCTGATTAATTTCCAGAAATCTACAAAAGGTTCATTAATTCTGTTCTATAACTATTGTTCAGAGTAATGCAGACTTTCTCTACATATGTTTAAAAACTTGATTTTCACTTTGCTTCCTTGACTATCTTCCCGATTAAATATAATATTATAATTAAGTAAACTATATACAAGATTATTGTGGGAATGTGTGCACCACTGGAACACCTCAAAGGCCAGGTTAGGTACAGACTGTCATGGAGAAAATCTATCTTTATGGTTGCTAGGAGTTGACAGTGATTTGATGGTACATAATCAACTAATCACTATAATACTAGTATGTTTTCTAATTTTTCAGTATCACCAACATTAATTATACTAATTAGTTGGGGAAGAACTGTAATTTTAAAAATTACTGGGATATCTAAACTTACTTCTGCTGAACCCATTTTCCTGGGTCTTGAAAGGGGTGACTTCCTGTGTATATGAATTGGATCTGACACCATTGGCTTGAACATCATTACTGAACGATCAGTTTCATCTCTTTTATAAGCATGGGGGTCCTCATCATTCTCATTTCTATGGGATGTTTGTTTTGAATCATCGTTCTACAAGAAAATGGATATTTCATGTTTTATAAAATTTCATCAAGCATACTAAAAGCATCATTCTTCTGAATATTAAATACCATGACACTAGCTAGAATTGTGCAGTGTTGCGACTATGATGCACTTACAATGTCATTCCCATTGAGTTATTAATCAAGTAATGTTAAGAGAGACATCACATTATCATCAGTTGTAACTTTATTGCCAGCTTCTCCATTGACCCTGCTTGTTGGAAGCCAGTTGCAAAGCACACAAATGGAAATCACATGACTGCAGGACTGTGATAGTAAATGCCCACCAGTTGCAAAGTGCTCAAATCTCAATCACTTTACCGTGGGGATTTTGTAAATGTGAGGATCAGTCAGGAAATTATTTTTTCAGTGCCATCGTTAATTTCTAACGGTCAGTTAAACACGACAGTTCTTAAGCAAGATCTATTATACTTTGTCCATATTGAAAAGCATTCTAAATCAAACATACCTAATAACAAAGGTATCAATTCTATTATAACAGCACTCTAATTTATTTTGTAATGCAAGTCCTTGCTAATTATCACTTAATAGACTGGCTTCTGATTTTATACAATTACATGGAAAAGTGCAATACTGACTGACTTAAAATAGTTAAATACATCTCCAAATATATTTAAAAGTTTCTAAACTTAAACCAAAAAGAAAACTGGAGATTTTTATTTAAGCAACCAAATGCTGTGAAATGACATGAAAAGTACTCTTTAAGTTTCATATGAGAAACATTTCTAAAAGCATTTACCTCCCGTGAAGCAGGTCTGTAACCAAAACCTGATGGTAAGTTTTTATCTTCTTCACAGCCTTTAGCTCCTGGACTAAAATGTAACTCCACATGGAAGCGTTCTTCTGATGAAACCTCCTAAATAAATGGATGTCAGGTCATATTCTGACTATATGTAATTGGCTTTTGTCTTAAATTATTGTTTACTGTTTCCTACCTTATTTGGATCTTCATACAGCATGATAACTATTTGGGTCATGTAATTGAGTTCACTGACAACATTGAGATAATCCATAGCTCTTTTCCACTGTTCATCTTTTGATGCCTTAGATAAAAAAAAAATGTACGTACCACTTGTTTAGTATTGTCTCTGTGTTGATCCCTCTTTTTACCTTATAGTAAACTAATTCTAAGTTGCAATCCTAAGCGTACTTACCATATAGGCACTCTATATTGTATTTTCAATTGCTCGATCTTATAATTCAATGTTATATATTAACTTATCAAGTGATGACAAGCAAAACATCAAAAAAATAAAGACTCATAGCCAGCCAGAAATTAATCTTAAAACATTTATTTTTTCCATATTATTTTTAACACTAGCAAATTCATTAACATGCACACCAGGCTATTAAGCTTGTTCAACAAAATATGGCTTTAAACTTTAGTTTAGTCCTATCTATTAATTAGTATTTTAATCTGTTTTAGACCACAATGAAATCACAAAAAGGTAACATGATTTTTGCAAGCTAATCAGTCAATGTTTCCATTACTGAAATGTTTAGAAGTCAACTGTGATGAATTTTTAGATAATTCTTCAGGTTGTTTGCTAAAAGAAAAAATATTATTGAATAAGTAGTTTACTGAGTTGATTATTAAATGTGCCTGCTTGTATATCTTCAGCAATTCTGAAAAGGAATACCACTGAAAAACTTACATCACATAAAGAACCATAGCGAAGAGTTGAAAGCAAAGAATGGACATGACTCTCACTGGTGAAGTACAGCCTAGTTCGGACATGACGTTCAGGAGACATAACCCCACTAGAATACCTAAAAATAAAATTGCAGAAGTGAGTAAAGGGCACCATATATTGCATCTAAATCTAAAAATCTAAAATTTCTAGATCTAAACTCTAAACATTAACTAACAAACGTTCCCACAGTTTTCTACTAATAATAATGAATTAGGTACACCGTTTAAGCTTCTGTATCAATTTAAGCATTGATACATTGATAACCTAGGCATAAAACAACATATTTTTGTTTTTTGTGCTTAAATTTTATACAGCCTTTATGAATCCATACTTACCTTGGACCTAAATCTCAAGTGGGGGAACTCTGAATCTTAATCAGTGCTACATTTATGTTTAAGAAAAATATATACTTTACACTCTGAATTATCTGAAGCTAAACCCTTGTTTTAAGCTGCAGAATATAATGCTGTGTGTATTTGAAAATCTGCACATCCTTGATCAAAAACCAGAATCTTATCAGAACCTTTGCCTAGAAGCCAAACTGCGAGTGTGACATGTGAAATATTAAAACATAATTACCTTTGAAAGTAATAGAAATTAAGTTAAAGTGCCTCAATTTACCATGTTTGCCATCATGTATAAATAAAGACCATAGGTTTTTTTAATGCTTAAATTATATAAATTTCATAGAAGGAATAGATTTCATTTTAAACTAAGCACTTAGCTAAATTTATTCTGATATAAGGGCTTTAGTAATGTCAAAAAAAAAAAAACTTACAAAGGATGGAGTTTGTTAACAGTATCATCATCCTGAGTCCTCTGAAGATCAGACCGAATTTTCCTCAATAGTGGATTGCAGTAACCTTTAGCAATCTCTAGTTTTTCAGCCTCAGTAATACCATATTCCTTAAGTGAAAAAATGGGAAAATAAACTTGGATATTCCTGAAAATTCCCTCTCAATGTAGAACTCAATTTGTTAGATAAGTACCTATTTCTACCTAAGCCCTTAATGAGATAATTTCACTTTCAGATAATGTCACAGTAGTAGATGGTGATAGATATGGGCCTCTGATTCTTGTCCTGCTGCTGGATCTGCCTCTGGACTAAAAAAACAAAACAAAACACTGCAATTCTTTGCTAAGTTGTAAAGTACTATTTTTTTTTTTTTTTTTTACGACAAGATGGCATGTCAATTCAGAGAGCAATGATAGGGACAAGAACCCCTAGGATTAACCTACCCATTACACAGAATGGGACCTAAGCAATGACAGCAGCAGTAGAGAACTTGTTTCTACCTAAGTCCACATAACTTTGAGCAGTGTTCTAGGGGCCATATGCTAGTTAGTAGGACCATATATCAAAATAGGTGAGGCCACTTGATAAGAATAAACAGCCCCAGGCACATTTTTAGACAGTAATTCCTCCAGAAAATGCATCTACTGGATTCACTAGATATATTTTTAAAGCTTTATTTTATTGCAGGGGCAAAAGATAAAGGATACAATATTCACTGGAAAGAGAATCAGTTATTCCTTCCTTACCTCTATATTACACTAAGTAAGGTTTTAAATCACCATTGGATTCAAATGAGATATTTAAAATGGAGCTTCTCTGTAATAAAGATGTGGAGACAAGTTCATTTTTTTGCTGACATTATGGCTAAAAACATGCCATTTTTTTTGGATAGGATACTACAGGGGATCATTTATGTCCAGTTGTGGGATTCAAATATGTGAACATATTTCTCTGTATGGCTGCTGCTTTCGGAAGTCCATTCTGGGCCTGGGCAACAAAAAAATAGCTACTGTTTCTGCTGAACTGGTGTGAACTGGCTGAATTCCATCACTATTTATGTCCCATCATCATCATATCATGAGGTGATAAAACTTTCACTTCAATTCTTAAACAATTAAAACAAAATAATTGATTAAAATGGGGGAGGGGCAAACCCATGGGAGGTGGGGAAGAACTTTAGACAAACGACACAGGTCTCATTATGAGTCTCAATTTTGGTCACATTGGCTTTCAGGTGCAAAATCACCACAATTTTTGTTTTGGATGATAATATTGCCTATTTGCTAAGTTCTGAATATAGGCTCTGTGTTTATGTTGTTCCATAAACATTATTTTGCTAATTTGTGTGGTTATCTTGTTTATAATAACAAAATTTATATTATCATTGTTATTTTGTACTCTTATTTTGTATTCTGTATGAATCAAATAGCTATTGGTAATAAAATAATTCTCTTTGCAAAATGTAACTTAAAACCATACATGACCACAATAACCATATTCAAATCCATCTATAATTCCGATTCCTCCATTTCATTGATCATTTGCATTCCAATCACCCATTAGTACTTTTATATGCTTTCTCGATGCTGTATTTAGCAGCCCTTGCAGTTTGTCAAATAGTTTTTTCAATGTCTTCCATCACTTCCACTGCTTATTTAACATTGATGATCACTGTTATAGCTCCATTAACTCTAATCTAGATGATCCTGTTGTTTACTGTATATTACTAAAGTACCTACTTAGCAATATTCTTTGAGTATCATTACAATCCTATTTCGTTTAATGGATTCATATTCTGAATAGTGTATCATGTAATCCTCATATTTTAATTTTTTGAACCATGTTTTTGCTCCTTCTTAGGGAGTAGATCTGAGTTATCACAGGATACAAGCAATATGCCCCATGATTCTATTGGAAGCCACATTAAAATAATCTAGTTATTGGATACAAGGCTACATCTAGGACAAAACCTAATGAACTGTATAGGATCCACAACTGGGTAAATAAATATAAAATTGCACCATTGTTCTGGATTCAGTCTAATGTCAACAAGACACATGCCATTTTTTAAATATCAGATTCCTCAATTTAATAAGGGAAAGAGGTACTGCTTTTCAATTTGTGATAATTCATAAAAACTGCTTTATAAACTACAAATGCATTTTTAGACAGTAAATTTATTCATTTCCCTAACAGTTAATAAATTTGGTCTGGAGAATATAGCCATTTTATTTTAATGAGAGTATTATGTAAGCTGCAATGTACATACCTGAGGGATCACAATGTCAGCCAAAGCCTTTGACAGTCTGTATAATTCCATTGTATTTTCTAGCTTTAAAGAGACATTATGCTGAACATCATATTTTATGCAGTCATAGATATCTGGGATTTTACTTATATCATATTTTCCATTCTTTGTTTTAAAGTCTTTTTCAAGCTTGGCCCACCTACGCAACATTAGTTCCAATGTTTCACTGTGATAAAGTTGAATATCTAGTTGGACAAATAATTATTAAAAAGTAATAATGAGAGTTGATTAAAGTAACATAAAGGAATGTTACAATAGACATTAAAGAAATATTTCTACCCATTCCTTAAGCTTCAGAGCAACCAGTTTTCTTACAGCTTGGTTTTGTTTCATTTTTTTCCTTTACACATCCACATTAAAATAGTTTGTACTTCTGCAATACTGGTACTTAACTAAGCCTATTGCTATCTTCTTTCCTGCACAAGGTTACTGCTATTTTACTTACATAGCAATCTACATCAGTGAAGTTAATTTGCTATTAATATATTAGAGTAGCTAAGAGTCGTTGAGCAAACTATTACAATATTTTATTCTGCAAGTTGCTCCTGAATAAAAAGGTGTCATAACAATTAATTATAAAATAAATATGTGTAATTAATATTATCAATCCAGTCTGATCAAGCAAACTATTTACCTGCAAATTTAGGATCTTCCATTCGTTGTTTGATCTGAGACGTCAAACTCTGGATTAAAGAATATACCTTATCACATGTCTTAATAGGATTTTTTATCACTTGCATTGATTTTATCAGAGAAACACTGCCAGATGGTGTCAGCTGTAGTACCAGACCAAAAAGAAATATGTAAGCTATAATACTTATAGTTTACATGTATAGCATCTGATATCCTAATCTCTGAAAAATACGTATTTTTAAAATGTGCTATGCTAATATGAGAAAAACTTATAAATAAAGAAAGCATTTTGACTTATCTTTTAAATGCAGGTAATCTTTGACTTAAAACAGCTTATTTAGTGACCGTTCAAAGTTATGACACTGAAAAAAGTGACTTATGACCATTTTTCACACTTATGACCCTTGCAATAGTCCCATGGTCACGTGATTAAAAGTCAGACACTTGGTAACTGCCTCATATTCACGACAGTTGCAGCGTCCTGGGATGATGTAATCTTTTGCAATCTTTGATAAGCAAAGGCAATGTGGAAGCTAGATTCACTTCGCAATCATGTTACTAACTTAACAGCTGCGGTGATTCACTTAACAACTGTGGCAAGAAAAGTCATAAAATGGAGCAAAATTCACTTAACAAATGTCTTGCTTACCAACAGAAACTTTGAGCTCAATTATGATCGTAAGTCGAGGACTACCAGTATACTACTAAAAATCCTATGCTAAAAGAAATACTAATTTCAAACAATTACTATATCCAACAATTTTGTTTATTAGTTCTAACTGACAAAATCCAACTTAACTGATGTCCATTTTTGCCTTATTTTCTATTAACTCTCCGTACTTTAATATTTCAAATCATGTAAGTACAGCTACATACTAAAACATGTATGTTGTATTTAAGAACTCCAGAAGGCTAAAAGAAATATACCAGTTTGACCAGGCTTTAGACTAAGGCATATCATAGAATTTGCACTCCTAGTGTTAGTGAACGATCTTTGGAAAGATCAAGATCAGGGAGTACAACCTTTTTAGTTTCCTGATGTCTCAGTAGCTTTCCATATGATCAACCATAATACCTTTCTGGACTGTCTCCAGATGATTAGGAGGTTTCTCCTTCCTGAAGGTAGTTTATATTTCTTCTTTCCCTCCCTCCCTTCTTCCATTTATACAGTCACACATCTCAAGTACATGATTTTAGATGTCTTACAATTGTTATAAAACAACCACATAAACAAAATGCAATATAAAAAAGACATAAACACATATAAAGCATCCATGTAAACAAAATATTTAACCTAATCAGATTTCAGAAATATGGATTTAGAAGGATACCATAGTTGATGGTATCAACTGCTACCAAGAGGTCAAGAGGAGAATGAATGCATTATACTAGAAGTCGTCCAAAAGTGACAACAGTGCTGTTTCAATCCGATACCCAGATCTGAGACCTGACTGGAAGAGGTCTAGATAATCTTCTTTTTTTCCTAGTTACTCCGAAGCTTTGTATAACTGCCTTCTCTAAACATGTAAGGCTGGAGATTGAACAAAAATTGTCTAGTATGAATGGGTCTAATGGAGGCTTCTTGAGTGGATGAACCAATTCTTCTTTAAGATGAATTCATCACAGCCAAGTCTCCTCCTAGGATTTAGGCAACCTGGGGGCATGAATCTCATACTCATGAGAAATCTTTCCTAAGGCCCAACAGGTTCAAACTCCTATCAGGTAACACAGCAAGACTGCACCTAGGCACCCCACAGGACCTGTATAAAGGCTGGCATGCAATTGGGAGTGGATTCAAGCAATTTTGTCCAACAGATACCTGACATATTCCTCCAAATAGCTTTGTACAACCTTTCCTGTAAAATCTTTCACAATTTTAACTCATCTGTAGAGTATTTTCTAACCTTTTCATAGTCTTCAGAAGTAAAGTCTCTATCTCTTTGGAGAATTTCATTAAGGCGTGCCTTCACCCGATGTTGGCAACTGCTAAGAGAGTCACTGTCACTGTCCAACAGACCATTCATATTAGCACTTTTGACCATCTGCACAAGTATAGGTGTGAGTTCCCCTTCCAATGCCAACAAACCCTGGGGAAAATAAAGTTACTGAATAGAATTAAATATATTAACTCTCAAACTAAACAGAATACATAAAATGTATAGGTGATTGTCTTATCCATTATGAATTTGATAGAGGAACTGCATTACAACTTACATATAGATAAAATAAATAATTCTAAAGCTGTCCAAATTCATTTTTATTTTGTTTCTAGGCACCATTTTCAACTGTCTAATCTGGATTTGGGTTGTGATTACCAAAATGAGGAACAATACTCCAAGCATTTCACTGGAAGTTTTTAAGAAGTGAGTGGACAACCTTTTGTCTGAAATGGTATAGGGTTTCCTGCCTGAGCAGGGGATTGGGCTAGAAGACCTCCAAGGTCTCTTCCAATTTTTTTATTATTATTATTGTTGTTGTTGTTGTTGTTATAGACCATGCAAACTTATAAAGTGTTACACAATAAAAACAGCATTAAGCAAAACAAAAACAATCACAATTCTGTTCGACAACCTATAACACACATTGTATATACATTGTGCTAAACAATAATATTGTCAAGTTTTGGGGTAACATATAGCACGAACCTAGCCACCGTAGTCTGTAAAATAAGGTTTATAGCTTGTCATGATGTATAAATTCAGCTAATTGAAACACAAATTAATAGACATAGTATGTTGAGTGAACAGCCACTGAGATTTGCACTACCACTTCTAAATCATTTCATTTTGATCAAAAGGCATTTTCTGAACTTGATGATTGGTTGTTCAAGTATTAATTTGCATTTATGAATAGGTCATCATAGATTGAGCTTTTGAAATGAATTATTTCATACAGGAGAGCCAGTTTAGTTAGTGGCTCAGATGCTGGACTATAAACTGGGACACAATACATTTTAGTATTCCTTTAGGCATGGAAATTGGCTGGGTGACTGAGTCAATTGCACTCTCTCAACTCAATCCACCTTACAAGGTGGTTCTTGTGTAGAAAGTAGGGAAGAAAAAACAGACACAAACATAACACACACAAACTAGAAATGGATATGTCATCTTACACAATCCATTATGAAATGTTGGCAAAGGATTTGTGTGAATTAAAATTTCAGTCTAGTAAGTTCCAAGTTTGGGAAAGGCTGATTGAGAACGTCTACAATTCATTATCTAATTTCATTTCAAAATGTATTGCTAATAAAGACGGGATATAAATCAAATAAAAAAACCTTGATAGACTTGCTCTCTAATTAGATTCAAATTAACTAGGCTCAGAGAAATACATGCATGCAATTTTTATTTTTAGATCTGTTTTTGTATAATATTGCATGCAATTCTTTATGCATACTAAAATATATATTTTATATGCAATAAAGAAGCAATTTAAACATTTCATGAAAACTGGCTGAAAAAACGTTGGTGCTGATTAAGTACTGATGAAATAGTCCACTTTGCATTGAGACAATGGAAGAAGTTATCTTTTATATATATATAAATATAAAAATGCAAAACAGCTGAACTCTTCCTGCAAGTAACCTATACATAAGTAACATTTCATATTTTCTACTGATGTTATACTACCTTTGCAAAAGCTGCAGCTGTCATTTGAACTCTTCCTTCATCAGATGCATAGATTTTGAGATCATGTCGATAAGTACTATGCAATCTAAGTAGGCCACATCCTGGAAATCCAGCATAGTCACCTACCAAAGCAAAACAATGAAGTTTCTCATCTTTTCTGTAGTCACCTACCAAAGCAAAACAATGAAGTTTCTCATCTTTTATTTCTCTTTTTCATAGATATGACTTCCAGCCATTACAAAGAAAAACCAGTTACCTTGTCCACCTGGGTACATACATCGGAAAGCTCTTCCTAGTTCCTCTGCCTGAACTCTGCCTGCAGGTGTCAATTCTCCTCCCCATTTGAGAACTAAGAGTAGAGATGGCTCTTGTTTGCGGTTATCTAAATACATACAGGCAAGTAAAAGATTTTTTTTTTACTTATATTCAAAATTTGTTCAGAACTGCAGATTGATTATATTGGATTTTGGCTATAAAGTTTGCCCTAACTCTAGCCAAAATGGAAAAGAAAATATTATAAGCTGAATTGATATATTGACATTAATCAATTCAGTATAAGCTACTGATCAATTCAAAGAATAATCAGATTGGCCCTAACCCTGTTGACATTTCACAAAGCTCTAAAGACATTAACTGTGTTCCTAGGGTTAAATAAACAAACTAATTGATGCACATTAATTCCTAAAAATAACCAAAATACCTTCTTCTTCACTAGATGTTTTAGGACAACCATGAGGAAGATATGTCAGTTGTACTTTGCGATTTATGCCAGAAAAATGTCCATACCTAAAAACAACGAGAATAGCATAAATGAATAATACTGGTAAAAGAAACACAACAAATCAGATGAGTTGGTAATATGGGATACTGCAATACATCTACAAGAAACTATGTTTTGCTATATGGAGAGAAAGCAATCATGTTTACTGTTCAAATTTTTAACCAAAATACCAAGAAAAATGTGTCATCCACAGATAAGGCATTTTTACCATTTTTTATTTCACACATACTTTACTATATATATTCAAAGAAAAACCTATCTGTGGATGAACTAAACCTGTTTTTTTTTGGATGCATTTTGACATCTAAAATTCTTGCTTATCTTTGGGCTCATTGGTGTATGCTATTAGCAGAGTTCAAGAAGAGCAATAACACATATTACTTTTTTATTATAATTTTCTGCCCATCCTTTAATGATTGTAATATTAATTAACATAATTTAAATAAACTGGCCTCATAGAAGAAGATTTCACGCATGCAGAAAAAGTTTAATTAATGAGTGTAATGTGTACAGGTGGTTCTCAACTTACAGCCCAATTGACCCAAATTTTTTGCTGTTAAGTGAGAGAGTTAAGTGAATTTTGCCGTATTTTACTATCTTTCTTGACACAGTTGTTAAGTGAATCACTGCAGTTGTTAAGTGAATCTGGCTTCCTCATTTGCTTGTCAAAAGGTCATAAAAGGTGATCACATGAGCCTGGGACACTGCAACCATAAATATGAACCAGTTACCAAGTGTCTGAATTTTTATCACATGACCATGGGGATGCTGCAGAGGTTGTAAGTGTGAAAAAAACCCCAGTCATAAGTCACTTTTTTCAGTGCTGTTATAACCTTGAACAGTCATTAAACGAATGATTGTAAATCGAGAATTATATATATAATATGGCTTAGAAAGTAAAGCAGATTCAGCAGCAATTTCATATTAAATTAAAATGGGGAAGGGGGAATGCAGGACCTCTTTACAACAGTCATAACTTTCTACAGAGAAGCTTGAAACAGATGCAATTGTTTTAAGGAATCATATTAAAGATACAGCTGCATTAATAAATAAAACAGCATGTTTTTCTGCTCACATGGAAGTCTGATAAGAGACATGATTGTTCTAAAAAGGTCCTGATCTCTTCTGCATTATGAAATGGTTTTTATTTATTTATTTATTTATTTTTGTGAGCCTGTAATTCCTTTTATTGGGGTGGAGTCAGAGTGGCTGAATGGAGCTGGCCAGATGCCCTTCCTGATGCCTAAGCGGAGTTTGCAACAGATATTTTCTCTTTGCTTACTGACAGAGAAACATCTGTCGCTGCCTAGGATTGAATTCTCAAGCTTCTGAGTGGGAGGCAAGTGGCTTCACCTCTTGTGTATTTTGTTCAAAATAGAAATGGGAGCCCCATTTTGAAAATATCATGATTGTTTCAAAAGAAAGGTATTATGAAATTAAGAGGTTGACTCCAATCCTTTAAAGAAACAATAGAAGAAAAAAATATTCTGCTTTCTTTATTGTCTTCTCAGTGAATCTAATACAACCTACTTCCTTTCAGACAAATAAAACAACAGTCAGAATCTAACAAGGTACATTGGACTAGTTCCAAAGTTATAGATCTAGCTATGAAGAACATCAGATGATCTTTACATAGTCATCCTAAAATGTGTTTTTATTACATCAAAATAATTGAAATAAAATACTTACATCTCCAATACAGTCTTTAACTGTTCAAGTTTAGATTTGTTTTCTTCTATTTCAGAGTCATTATTCTGTCCTAGCTCAATTAAGAGCTGTCTTGCAATATCAAGTACTTCCTGAAAACAAGTAGTTCATAAAAATGGATAATAACATTCTAGAGAAGAAAAAAGGTTTTTTTAAAAAAACAAAAAAACAAAAACAGAAACCTTACCTGTAGCTGCCTTGGTTTCTTCAACTTTAACTTCCCAGATTTATATCCATTGCATTTTTCAAAAAGATCAAAAAATCTTTAAAAGAAATAGGGAATGATACAATTATTTTACAAGATAATCACATACAGATTCCAGCATCACCTGGTGATAATGGCACACATATCAACTTCCCACGAATTGATTGATAGAACTGGTATTCATTTCAGAAAAAAATAATATCTTATACTAGAATTAGGATTACATATTTATATTTTTTTGAAGAAAAGTTCAATTTTCTTTTAAAAAAATATTTATTACAATGTATATGGCTGCCCATCTCATCATGACGACTTTTAACAATTAAAAACACAGTGTTACAACATAAGCACATAATCAGCAGTCATGGTAAAAATCACAAATAACAGTCAGCTCAACCATCCCACAGGCTGTGCCACATTCTGACTCCATTCCCAATGACATAGCCAACTCTTCAAGACTTATAAAAAAAATAAACAGGATTAGGGCTAATCTATGCCAAAACTGAGGGATGATAAATCAAAGTGTATGAGCCATCACAGAAAACAGTCTCTCCTTGGGTCCCATCAGATGTAACACTTTAAAATGGAGTCACAGCATGCTTTCTCCACCAGATTTGATGAGAAAGGTAAACACAACTGGGGAGAGGTGGTCCCCCAAATAACCCATCCCATGCTATGAACTTGATAGGTAACTACCACCACCTTTATGTGAATCCCTAAGCAGGATCGCAACCAATGCCTCTCATAGAACAGAAGTGTAACATGGACCAGTCAAGAGCACACATAACTGCAAACGAAGGCGAATATACGTGTCCCAGGATGTTGCAGGATCCAATCTGGATCGGTCACCGGGACCAATGGTTTTGTTTTCTGAGCTTTTGGACTCTTGCTGGAGCCCATGATGACCAATCCAGATTGGACCCTATACATAATTGTCCACACTGCTGCATTATGAACCAACAGCAGTTTCTAATTCTCTTCAAGAGCAGCCCAATTTAAAGCACCTTGCAGTAATCTATTTGGGAGGCAACTATAGTATGAATGATTGTGAACAAAACATCTCGGTCCAGTAATGGTTACAGGTCGAGCACAACACAAAGCTGATCAAAAGCTCTCCTGTCCGCACCTGCCACCTGTTCCTCAAACAGGAAACACTGCCCAGAAAGACTGTTAAATAGCACTGCATCTGTTTGGGGTTCTACAATACCCTCCAGAACTAAAGATAGAAAACCTTGTATCTTGGAGGCTCTAAAACCAGAGCCACTCTGTGTGCTGGGTTGAGTTGAAGCCTGTCCTTCCTCATCCAGATCCACATAGTTTGCAAACATAGAGACAGACTCTCCATAGTACTACTTGGTCAGCCATGGGTAGAGATAAAAGCTGATGCATATACTATATACCTGACCATATCTTCACCTCATGCCGTCAGATGACCTTAACCAGTAGTTTCATGTAGATGTTAAAAGGAGCAATCTAACCATGACAGAAGAGCAATAAAAGTCTCCCCCAACTCTAGTTCATGTTTACCACTGCTCCAGCAAGAAAATCAGAGCAGATGTGTGACCACTGCCATGAATTATATCATGCCCATAGCTATCATAGTGACCATGAACTGCCATGCTACTTCATAAGCTATCCCCATTTTTTTTTTTTTTTACTTAAATCAAGCCGGTAAGGTAGGAAGGTTGGTCCATAGCAGGGAGACTGGTACAAAAGCAATAATCCCTAATGACCCCTAGAACCCAATAAACAGGGTCTTGCATTCAATAATCTATGAATGCCACCAATCCTGGATAAACATAGCCCCTTCTCCCTCTGCTCTTGGGCCTTGACTGGTGGCACAAAGTAAAACCTGTGTGGGCTCATCCTCAAGATTGGAACACCTCCCTCAGATTCCTTTCAGGTTTCAGCATTAAACACTAAGTCATCTCTCTTATTTGTGATAAATCACTGGTGACGGAGGCCTTACTGCAGACTGAACTCTGATTCAGAAGACTTCTGACGGCCCGTTGATCAGAAAATGGGGTCAAACAACTGTATTATAATGTAATACCTGTGAAAAGCATAGGGGCTATGTTTCCCAAGTGAGCCCTCTCCCATGATCTCCCTCTATACCTTCCTCAACCATTACCATACACATGTTCTAGCCTATCCTTAACACACACACCCCAAATCTCCTCCTCCCCCAATTCCCTGGCCCATCGCTGGATTAAAGAGTCCCAATCACACCACAAACCAGAAAGTCCATCCCCCGGGATACTTCTATTCACGCCATCAGTTCCTCCAGCAGCCCTAGACCATACACTTTACCCCTATAAACTTCACAGTTGTATCCTATCGTACTTTAATATCATAAGAATTTCATCAAATTTAGAAATATCTAGGAGGATTTTTCCCAATGTGATGCCCCTCAGTTATGCTTAAAGTATAATCCCGAGGATTCCAAGTCTGCAAGCAGAAGTAACAGTCCCAACATACTTGGAAGACACTTGTTGTATAACACCTCTTAGCTCAAATCCTAAATTTCAAAAAAGTATTCAACTTAAATATTTCACTATTTCTTTTTATCACCAGATGCTTACTTTTGGTGTTTAACTTCCATTTTCATTTTTTGCTTTGGTGTCCGATCTCCATGCCGTATTACAGCAATGACACATCTAAGCTCCATCCTGCAAATATATAAGGAATATAATTATATGTTTCTATTTATTATTGAAATGAAACAATCTGATTTAGTGATAAGCAAACTATATACTAAACTGTGGACACCACCAACACACAAAGTCTAAAAAGACTTAGTAAGCATCCAATTTAAGCATCTTAAATTGGAATAAAGAGTCAATGGCAACTTTTTCCATAAAACAGCTACTATATAATTAGTAATTATCCAGAAAAATGGTGGGCTTGCCTTTACTATATGCTATATTCTATGCTATATACTGTAAGCAGAGACTGCAAGTATCATAGATGCTTTATTTTGGATTCCCAAACTGAGCAGAGGATAGGACTAACAACTTAAATGCCCCCTTCCAACTCTATGAATTTATGAAATTCATATTCCTGAAAAACACCCAGATTTAAGTTAAGCATGGGAATTGGGGAACAACTTAATATGGCACTGGGCAAGTGGGTGGAGGTCTAAGCTTGAATGCATTTGTTTGTAGTAGATCTAAAGTCTATTCAAAATAAAATATTTTCACTGAACTCAAGAAAGATATCTAGAGTGAGAAACTCTTAATTGTTGCAAGTGTTGTTGTTGTTGTTGTTAATTGCGAAGTCATGTCTGACCCATCGCGACCCCATGGACAATGTTCCTCCAGGTCTTCCTGTCCTCTACCATCTTCTGGAGTCCATTTAAGTTCACACCTACTGTTTCAGTGACTCCAACCAGCCATCTCATTCTCTGTCATCCCCTTCTTCTATTGCCCTCAATCTTTCCCAGCATTAGGCCCTTCTCCAGGAGTCCTTCCTTCTCATTAGGTGCCAAAGTATTTGAGCTTCAACTTCAGGATCTGGCCTTCTAAAGAGCAGTCGGGGTTGATCTCTTCTAGGACTGACCGGTTTGAACGCCTTGCAGTCCAAGGGACTTGCAGGAGTCTTCTCCAGCACCATAGTTCAAAGGCCTCAATTCTTTGGCGCTCAGCCTTTCTTATGGTGTTGCAAGTGTAGCTGCATTTAATCCTGAACATAAAATACTACTTTTGTGAATAGAAGTCTGTGTTCATGATACTGCAGGGGGTAAGTCTTGCATTAGATAGTAAATATTTATTCTGAGTGACGCATTTTCTATAGAGGGAATGAAATGAAAGATTGTACCATCTAGTCTGATGATTGTATGTCACTCGGGCAAGTTATATTATCAACATCATTTATTTGTTTTGCCATTTTTAACAGTACAGGTTGTGAGAGAATTACCAAGCCCATAATCTAAAGCAAGAGGCTTACACAAAATGTGAAGTCCACAGGCCTACTGGGGGAAGAGGACTGGAGATATCTAGCTTTCCACTTGATAGGCTCAGCTCTTTTTTTTTTTTTTCCCAAACTCTCCCCCATACATATACCGTGATATTTATCAGATGTTAACATATATTCTTTTTACATTCTTATATATAAAAGATACTTTTAATAAAATGAAATAAATACATACACATGATGTTTGGTGTTGCTCGCCCATTTCCCCTTTCATTGTATCCTCACTCCTTCTTCTCTACCTTTGCTCTTCTACTATAGTTATGTGGTGGAATATGGTGCAGAGTCACATGAGGAAGGGATCTTTCCCAAGGACCAGAGAGGCAAATCAGCCTGGAATCTTTGGCATGCAGGAAGGAGAAGGGCCAGGGAGAATCCTCCCTAATCTTTCACAAGGTTTATCTAATAGTTATGCAGATTGTGCTTTAGTCTGTCAAGATTACTGGCTATTGGTAAGCAATAAACTCAGAAACTATTCTGAGTAGATCCTTCTGTGTTCTTGGTTCCATGAGCCTGACAAATTGCTATCTATGGAATATGTATATTTATAGAACTTAACATGAATAAGAAAAAAAAAATCTTGGTGTAATTTTATGCAAGTATTTTCTTCTTACATTGTTCCTGAGGTGGTTGGCACAATAGGAATATCTTCTGCTTCCAAAGGTATAGACCAAGGGATCTGAAATTGTGGAGCAAGTTCTCTCATAACTATATTTCTGAAAGAGGAAAAGTAAGTGACTTATTAAACTGTCTTAATTTATCTGAATAATATTTATATACTATGAAATGAATAATTTGTAGCAATATCTAACTATAATTTTAATAATTAAACATATTAGGGTTTTTTACATTTCAGTAAAGAAAACTCCTCTGAACAATTTTAAGAATAGCCAATCATTATCATTTAACAGATTAAGACTTCTGCTTAAAAATGGTGAAGTGAGGACATATTTATGAAGTCTGTCAGGAAATCAAAAGCTATAAACTATGGAAGTTCCTTATTCCACAAAAACCACTTTCAAAGCTAGACTTCTAAAAATGTGCAAATTTCTTAACTAGGGCATTCATGTGCTCTGTATAGCTAGTACAAATATATCATTTTTTAGTAACTCCTCAATAGCAAAACCTACTTTTGAACAAAGTAAGCACATCATGATAACTCTCTTAAAAGGCTAACTTCCTGAGATCTTATCCAACATTGTTTTCCCAAAGTATCACTAGGAAATTAGTTTTTTTTTGTTAAGTTTTATAGCACAAAAATGACAAACATGGGAAATGGAAAAATCTGGAATTTGAGTCAAACCAAATATCCTTATAGGTCAATAATAATGTCCCAGAGCCCACTCAAGTTCTTTAAACTCTTACCCAAGGATTTTAGCGCAATCATCATAATATTTCATTGAATTCTTCACAAAACTGAAGCCATTGACATCACAGACATAGGACTGCCCATTTGCACGCAACAAGTCAAATCCACAAACTGTTTGCTATCAGAGAAAGCAACAACATGCTCAAAACTTGCAAAATATTATCTATAGACATTTAAAACTCAATAACTATATGTAGCAGAAACAAAACATCCCACATATTAATAATCTAAAATATCACAGGATTGTGTTCTGTTTTCTTATATCTCTTTAAATGTTTATTCTGTCTTAATCTATGCTTAAATGGAACATTTGGAAAGACATCTCATTTTGAATTTAGCATTCTTCTAAATTCTTATCCTATTCTTTCTAAAATTCCAAAATATCTTTATAAAACAGGTTAACAGTACAAACAGCTCTAAGGAATGCCAAACATCTATTTGTAGGGGCTTGCTCCAAGTTGATGTAAAGAGACTTCGTTACAAATTTTCTTAATAGATTTTTTCAGCTGATGAAAGCAGGAGAAACAAACACAAAAAAACTAATTAAAAAGAACAAAAATGAGTTCCTACACATTTTTGATGCCGGGGTCAGCAGTATGATAGTACCAATGCTGAGCTATTTGCTATATCATAAAATAGAACTTGCTTTGTAAAATTGAACAATTATTTTTAATGGCCTTATTTTATGAGATTAGCATTCTCATTTTAAATTTCATGAAATTTGACCATTTGGGGGGAAAGGTTATTTGGTCCATCACTCAATGGTATCCAAGACCTGAAAATGATTCAGACCCCTGGAATAGGCAATAATTTCAGGAAATAATAATTTTCTTTGAGATGTAATGTTATTGTAGTCTTGTTACCTTAAAAGCTAGGCATACTTTCCAAGCTATTAGCTTTTCCCGTGCATTAAGTATCACTGGATACCTCACTTCTTTGCCTTCACTATCCCGTTCCACCTTGCCATCCAGAGCAGGGGATTTACGTGCTTCTGCATGTGCATAATCTGGACCTACAGTGTACACCTATATTTGAGAGTAAAGGGAAAGACAAAGAAAGTAAAATCTTCTTGGTTAAATACATGACATTAGGTATAGTTTCACTTCACAGCCACTTCCATCTCCAAGTCTCCTAATTTATGCTTTTACATTTCCATGGTGAAAAGGAGACAAACTGAAAAGCACTAGAATATAAATAAAATTGCCAGAGCCCTTGGCTAAAAGCCTATAGTGTGTCCTACCTACCATTTACCTACTAGTTAACTGATCATTCTGAAACAGATTACAATTTTTTAATGTTATTAATGGCGAGAACTTATATCCTACTTATTTCAGTTGATTTGTCCTAAAGATGGTTAAGTCTGGAATTTATTAGATGCCCTAGAAATAATTTATATTTAAAGGAATGAATTTTTTCAAGTAATTTTAGAAGTGAAATGTTAAAATTATATAATAGGTCGTATTTTTAAAGAATGGGAAAGCAGAATGAAATGTACAGAATGAAATGCTAAAGCAAATTGATGGTGAAAACCACAAAGCAAAATAAAGAGTTGGTAGTGAGGCTTCTAGTGTATATGGCCAGCTTACCAGTCTGGATAGCTCTTTCCAGACGGAAGCTTTTTCAATTTACAAGCAGGAAACTGAGTTGCCTATGTTTATACGACTCTCCTAGGTTAGGGAGGGCCCCACAGTCATCCTACAAGATAGAGCAATGAGAGTCTAGAGCAGCATTCAGAAGTAGTCAGGTGAGTCATTCTGCTAGGAGGCGGGGCTGCAATCATGTTCTTGTTAAAAAAGTAGCCGAATGGACAATAAGTCATGCCTTTCACTTAAACACCTTATTGATTATATTTACTAAGTTAAAAGAGGCTCTATTCAGTCACTATTACTCCTTTCTGAAGATCTGTGCCATTTTTGAGAGATCGTTGTACAGGAGAATGGTCGCCAGAGATAAAGTAAAATAAGGAAGTGTGGAGTATTTTTTAAAAAAATTTGATGGAGAAATATAAGGATTTAAAAAGTTGTGTTTTATGTTGTCATTTTCATGAATTTGTCAACTTTATCTGACATTAAGAGTTATAATTTGCAGACTTCTGGTCCTGTGAGGTAGCGACTGGTTGTGGGCTTGCGGAATGCCGCACGCCCGCAGCTAATTTTCGTCCTGCCTGGAGATCCTAATGAGTCCAAGCAGCCCTGGAGAGGTGGTGAAGAAAGAAGGGGTGCCCTGGCAACTCTGGAATGACAGCGGTTGTTCCGTTCGTCTTGGGGAAAGCCTTCTAGCCCGATAGAAGAAAGGCTGTATTTCACCGATCAGCCCAAGCTACTTGCAATCAAAGTCCAAAAGAACTAACCAGCACAACAGTAAACGGCGTGTTTGAAACTGGGTGAGGAATCTTATTTCCCCTTTTCTATTCTACACTTAATTTCCTGGGAAAGATCCCCAAGAAGCAAAATACCTCCGAAAGTGAAGGAGGGGGACTTCCACCCCACCCTTATACTAACAGAAAGGGTGAATTAAAATTTCCATGGAGGATCAAAATATATGGTAGTGAAATAAATTTATACACTTGAAAGCTAAAATTTAACTTTGGAAAAGTTTAAAATTGTTGAATGGTTAAGACTCTCATTTTAAAGACCACTTGTTCATATTGAAAACTAAATAGATGCTGACACCTAGTGATGGATGAAGATTATGACAGTTATGATTTCCAGAGAACTTGCCAAAACCTGGGAAAAGCTAATCTGTGTTTGTAACCTTCAAAGTTTTAAAGCAAAGAACAGCTGTGCCAAAAAAGATAACAATCTGGGCTGTAGACAAAGAGAGAATTATAAACTTTAGAAAAAAATCTTCTTTGAACTTTTTGGATTACAAATATCTATTTAACTCAGACTCTAAAGTTATTTGCAGATAAGAAGGAAAACTTTTCAACTTTTGGCCATCATGGATCAGAGACATGTAGATAGAACACACCAAGGAAACATAAAAACCTCTCAGGAGGAGATATATAGTATACTGCAATTAATTCTAATAACACTGAGTTCAAATCACAAAGAAATCCAAAATAAATTTGAAAATATAAATCAATCTATTTCTAAGTTAACTCTACAACAAAAAAACTTCCAGGAAACAACAACAGAGAAGGAGCAGACAAAACAAATAAATGGACATAAAATTGAAAATAGAGACTCAAAGACGAAACTTAACAAAGCAAAAAACTAATCCTAGTGGAAATTTTTTTGCAAGAAATGGAAAAAACAACTCATCCCTTAAGACTACAAAATAAATCTGAGGACAAAAAAACAGATTGGATAAAATGGAATGTAGAGATGTTGAAAACATCAGAGAGAAAGGAAGTGATAAGAGAAGCAAAGGAGAAAAAGAAAAAGATTTTCAAGAAACATGGAAAGGCAAAAGACTCATATAAAGATACTTTATTTGATTTGCTTCTTATACTTACAGCAACAGTCATGAATATATAGAAAAACTTTTTGATTCATCAAAACACATTGATCAAGAAAGATACTGGTCAAAGGAAAAAGATTAAAGTGAAAATTAAGAAAATAGATGATGGGATCTACCAGAGAGAATATATAAAAAAGAAACATTTGTTTGAATATGGTTAAAGACATGGAAAAGTTTCTGAATACATGTTATTCTAAGAGGGATGAATTCCTTAAATAATACTGTATGCTTTTTCCCCCTTTTTAAATTTTATTTCTTTATATAAGTAATATAATACTGTTGAAACGGCTTAGATGAAGGAAATATTTTAGATATTTAGGGAAATTATAATGTATAAAAATGTTTTGAATAAGAGTTAAAGGATTAGATGACTAGACACATTAAATGGAATATTTAAAGATTAAATACATTTTTAATTAAGGTTAAAAAGAATAAGAAATTTTGGGAATGAATATATATTAACTTAGGAGGAATATATATTTTAAGTAGTATTTTACTTTTTATGTTTCTTTACTCTTGCTCTCTTTTCCTTTTGTTTACTGTTTTTACCTATTCTGTTTAAGAAATGTAAAGCATTGATACGATTTCTATGGGAAAAATGGATTTAAATCTTTAAATGTAATTAACTGTTGAGAAAATCTTAACATCAAGAATACTTCGAACTTTATGGGAGAAACAAATTTAAATAAGGACTATAATGGGATATAAGATGAGGCAACCAGAATGATTAGATAGAAAAGAAATATTATATTGATGTGAACATTATTTCTAGGAATATTGGGAAAAAACATATATGTAACTGTTATTTATCAAAATAATAAGAACTGTATTAATTCAAAGTTTGCAAAGAAGACATCTTGGGGAAAAGGGGAAATCAACTAAATGTACTATGTGGATTATGGATTATAGAAACCAATTGTTAATGATTTTTCTTTGCAAATGTAAGCCCAGCAAACATACTGTTTACCAACTATTAAGTGATTTATGTTTTAAAAAATCAATAAAATATATGGGGGGGGGGGGAAACAGTTATAATTTGCAAGTTTGTATTGTATGTTATAGGAAGCTTAAATTTTCCAATTTTAGTGAATTCTGATTGGCCAGGAGACACCAGCTGATCTACAAATACCTTTAAAAAAATTCTTTGATCAGAAGAAGGAACTAAAGAACAGAAGACCAAGCAATACTGAAGGCATCTAAGCCAGACAGAGATTGCAACAATTATTCTGGAATATTTAAACAAAACAATTCACTTTATAAAACATCTATGTTCCAAAGATGTCCAAAGAAAGCAAGACAAACAAATTATTCAAGTAAATGGAAAAAAGATAAGTAATTCAGAGAGACAACAAGTGTAGAAAGTTATCAAATCACTTAGATTATTGTATTTATACAGTATTTTATATTTATGCACTTGGGTTACTGTATTATATAGTATTTGATAATAGAAAGGTCATCTTTTTTTCTCTCCTTTTTTATCTTGTCCTCTCCTCTCTTTTAATCTTTATTTTCATTGTGTTTTATGCTATAATAAACCTTAATAAATCATTTTTAAAAAGCTGGGAGCAGCTTATAATGCAGCTGTACAACACAGGGAAAAATGTAAGTATTTCAACAATTCAAAAAGACATACTTCATTTGCACTCTCATGCTCTTCAAAATATGTATTTAAATTTCTTTAAGAACAATTAAATTTCACTGAAGAAAACAAATTATTCAATTGTTTCACATCTAACTACAGCAGTGATTCTCAACCTTTCTAATGCCGTGACCCCATAATACAGTTCCCCATGTTGTGGTGACCCCCAAGTGGGTGTGGCCACCAATAAGAGGGAGTAGGACAGCTAGGGAAAAGGGGAAAAAAATGGCGGACAGCATGGTTTGGCGACCCCCGTGAAATGGTCATTCGACCCCAAATGGGGTCCCGACCCACAGGTTGAGAACCACTGAACTACAGCAATACTTCGGCAAAAATAAATGTTTCACAGGGTTGCTAAATTCCTTAATCATTTGACTGTTCCAAAATTAAACCTAAATATGCGATTATACCTTCACATCAGTACCATCTGTAGGCATGAATTCCTCATAGATATATGAACCAGTTTTTCTCACGTTGCTTTCAGGAGAGTAAACACTGCTTCTACTACCAATCTGAAATACATATTTCGATCAATGTTATTTTATGCTAAAAATACTCACAAACACATTTTTTCTTTAAAATTGCTTTGAAGTAATACTGTGTATTTATAAATGTTTATAAAAATAAAATGCAACATTCTTACCATACTATACTGTGACAGATAGATGGGAAAAAGGAAAATACATTGCCTGCGTGGACTGAAAAAAAAATCTCTTTTAGAAAGGTTTCCTATGATATCCTAAATTTATAGAACAGGATTTTTTTTTTTTAAATTTCTCCTTCTGAAAAAGGTCACTGCTCACTTTTCAATCCTAACTGCATTTAATTAATAAATGGAAAGGGATAATTAGAAAAAAAATTGGTTTTATCTTTTTAATTGAAGGAATGGCATTTTAAGTGGCTTAACAATAGATATGAGAGCAGAGGGGTTATTTGGATAAAAGGCAGGTTCTCAAATACTATTTAATTTTTTTTAGAAATTCCTAGGATTGGATTGAGGGGTCCTTAGCATTCCCTGAGCTTGACTGTTTCTTCCCTACCAACAATCAATTCTCAGATGAGCAGAGATTAACACCAAGATTAACATCAGACCAACAATCAAGAATTAAACAATACCACAACCACGCTAACAGTAAACAGCCCAATAAAGAATCAGCAAGACCACTCTCACCAACACTGGCAGGAAAGGCCACTAGAGTATGAAATGAGATCAAACCCCATTCCCTATTAGCACTGATGATGTTACTACTTGATTTGGGCAATGAAACATCTGCAAGAAAACAATCAGACTCAGAGCATCAAGGAACTCTCATTTTATTTATTTATTTATGAGACTTATATAAGTGCAAGCACTCTCTAAGCGATGTACACCAGTAAGCAATGTGTATGTATGTATGTATGTATGTATGTATGTATGTATGTGTGTATATATATATATATATATATATATATATATATATATATATATATATATAGGTCTTTGGTTGTTCGGGTTTTAATTTTAATTTTACGCGGGAGAAAACCCGAACAACCAAAGACCTATATACAAATACCCGCGAAAACCTCAGAAAACATATATATATATGTATATACACATTGCCCCCAACAATCTGGGTCCTCATTTTACCTATCCCGGAAGGATGGAAGGCTGAGTCAACCTTGAGCCGGTGAGATTTGAACTGCTCACCTGCTGAACACAGTCAGCTAAAGTGGCCTGCAGTACTGCACTGTAACTGCTGCGCCACCTCGGCTCATATAACTCCAGTTACAAATATTCTCTATCAGTATTATTAGATTGACTGGTGATAGTACATGGCTTTTAATATCATGTTTCATTACATACAATATAATAAATATTCTACTTTCTACTCTATTGTTAACATTATCCTTTATTTTTATTTCAATTTTTTTGAATAAAATAAAACCACTATTCTTAAAAAGAAACCCCCTCCCTCTTTAGCTCAGATTCAAGGAAACCCTGTTCCTTGGAGTTGTGAATCCTTAAAAATTATTTGGAAATGCTCAGATGAAGAAAAGAAGTTGAAAATAGCATATTCTATCCTGTTATGAAGAGAGAATTTACTTAAACTTTATTTCTACATCTTGAACCTGTTATGGGAGAAAGGCAAAAAGCACTCATCATGCTGATAGGAATATTACAAATACCTTATGCATCCACGGACCCTGGCCACGGACCACCAAAACTTAATTCAAGATTTAAATCATAATATTTCTTCAAGCCTTCGCAGACCCCCGTGATGACACCATGGCCCTTCAGAGGTCAGCAGACCACAGGCTGAGAATCACTCCTATAACTGAGGTATTCCTGATATTTTCTTTATTTACATGGTGGGAAGGGGAATACGTTCAATAACATATGGTGGGAAGGGGAATACGTTCAATAACATAGCAGAAAGATGGAATACAAAATGAAATCTAAACTAAACTATAATCTAATCACTTGTTTACAGATCAAATCTATCTTGTGGTATTTAGTAGCTATTTTTTGTATCCACTCTTTTCTTACTTATTTCTGCTTCATTCTATCCCACCTCTCATTATGAAACACAGATATACAAATTACCTGTAGTTCTTCAGATAATGCAATTTACAAGATAACTCTCAGAATGGAATGCTATTCTTTTCAATCCAATCATGACCACCATCATCACAGAAGGGGCAAACTAGATTATTCTTGTGTAATTTACATTAGTCTTACTTTTCGAAAGAGCCTCTGACTTCCTCCACCAGCAGATGTTGGATAATAAATATATACATTGTGGTCCTCTGCACTAACTGGTTTTTCCACAAATGGCTTTTGGAAAACTTCTCCATTCACTTCCACATGATCTTCTCCTTCAATCAAATTGCATTCTGGAAAAAGAACATAAATAAATGCAGACTTCAGGTTTCAGTCACAGATAAAAATTCCATTATAAATTGAGACAAGAAAACTGGCTACAATCTCTAAATGTATTTGAACCCATGAACTTCAGCAACTTCGAAACTCAACATACTAAGCCAGAGGGAAGCAAACATTTTTTCCTATTGAGGCCTTGTATGTCAAGACCATACAGTAATAAAGTAATAAATGTATGTACAGATTATCTTTTTACTCTGTTTCCTTAGTTATTATCATAAATCAATTTTCTACTGCAAATAAATATTTCTTCCAAGCTTTAAAGTGTGCTGTTATTATCATTACCATAAAAATTAAGCAAACAAAAAGTAAGTGGGAAATCACAAGGTAGAAAAAATGAATATTGAAAGAGCCAGTCTGGGACAGAAATAGGACCATGGTAATGCCTGGGAAGGAGAGGCAAATCAGAATGAATTGAGGAAGAATTGGAGGAAGTGCTTTAAAAAGCAAAGCAGGGAGGTTGTGGAAGAAAATGGTAATAGGATCTGTTGAGCATTTATTGAAGCTTAGCTGTTTCTTCATATGCTATGATACAGTAACTCATTAAATCAGCCATATCTCTTTTTTCAGAATTTCAGACATGTCTGAAAAAAAGATGCAGTTTTTTTGCTGAGATGCTACAATACTTTTGCTGTGCAAATGAAAGCATGCTTTCAAATAATTTTGAAATCATGAATAGCCCTAGAAATGATGCCTGGAATGGAAGAGCAATGGAAGGGCAAGATTAGAAAGAATAGAATATTAAAAAGAGCAGACAGGCCTGCACTGCCTAACTTTACTTCACGTAGAATACATTTGGATATCAGTGTGCCAAAAGATTAATCTGTCCAGCAACAATATGGACACACTATCTACTGTCTACTTTTAGATTGCTATGTTGTTTGAATACAGTGATAGCTTTTTTGGCCATAAGCCAGAAAAGGAAAATCAGAAGAAGCCATGGGTTCCCTCTCTTGTTACATTTAAAAGGAAACCAAGGCTGAATGATATGATAATCTAAAAACTAACCATACATTTATGATTTGCAACCTCATTGTTCATAAGGAAGAGGCTGTTGATAAAATGCAGTGGGCTTGTGACTATCATGCAGTTGTGTGTTGTGGATAAAATGCAGCTGCTTGTGGCTACATTGCCTTAAAGTGTTCTTTGGGAAGCTGTAACATTTTAACTGAAATGAAGGCTATTTGCAGACAAACAAAAAACAAACAAACAAACCATTAATATTGTTGAGGGATAAATAAATGAGTGCCAAAAAACAAAAATTCTGCCAATATTTACACCAAAACTTATTATATTTTCTGTATTTGATCCTAGCTATTACAGGAAACTGAACATTGAAGGATATAAAAGGAGCAATGGAACCAATTTTCTCTAACTAAAGGAAAGTTTAGCCTATGGAAAAGAAGGATCAAAGAATATACCCATAAAATATGAATCATTTTGACAAAAAGCATCTACTTCTAAAATTTTCTGAAATAAAGAAACCATTGTACAGCTTGTTTAGTAAGTCTAGCAAAAAAAAAAAGAAATTAAATATTTTTATGAAGTAAATTCCTATAGAACTTTATTTTGAAGTTCCACTGGGTACAGTGGATGTTTTAAAAAAGCTATTACATACTATCAGTTACATAGTTCTTTTTCTTTTTAACTTTGTAAAAGAGACACCCATGCGATTTTCAACTTCCAATTCATATGTTGATTATAGCCACAAAAATAATATTTTATTAAACAGACAAGAACACTGTTTGTAGAGAAGTCTTTTGAAATGCCAATATAATAATTACCTTGGGGATTGTTTGGATCCCTGTTTAGGACTGCATAACGAGGAAGTAAAATGCCTTCATCTTTAAGGATGCCATAAACTTCTCTCCTGAAAAGAAATAATATATCCCACAAAACATTGCAACTACTGGAAAAAAAAACATGAAAATAACTTTTAATAATTCCTAATTAAAATCACAGGATAGTCAGAAAATTTTGTGTAAAGTTGCAACAAATAACTAATTAGAAAGTTACACTGTTAAAAATGGGAGCTGGAACAAAATGTTGCAAAATGTAGAACCTATAGTCCTAGACATAGTACATTTCTAATTCAGTTTTAAAGTATTATATATGCCTATTTGCACAAGATGGTGGGAATTAGGACAAAAGCCTCCTTTCCCAAGTTACTGTGCATTTTGGTGAAGTACAATCAGATTAGAGGATAATTGTAGAACTGAATTTGACACTTATTTCTTCAGGTTAGCATTACTGATGTCAAATTCTCACTGAAGGTTATAATTGCTGCAGCCTAGAAAATAAAATTATCAATCCAGAAAATGTTGCCATGGAGAACATACATTTAAGATCTGTACTTCGTCTGCAACAGCTTGATGCTGATAATAACCACAGTGATACGGCCTTGATAAGGGAATTAGTTTGAATGTGTACAATCAAAAGAAAAAAAGAAGAGGAGGAATCATTTAGAAACACTAAAGATCCTTGAGAAAAATGAGCGACATGTTAATAAAAGATAATAAAGATGAACAAAATACATACCTTGAAAAATGTAAACTTGAAAATTAAACAATTTTAGAATTACTTTAAATATGAGGATATTCTTTGCCAATACAGTAACTAATGTTCCACTTTGATCATCCTGGTACACTAGAGCAGGGGTCCCCAACTCCCGGTCCGTGGACCAGTACCAGGCTGCGGCATGCCAGCAAACGGTCCGCACAAACAAGCAAAGCCCCATCCACAAGATGTAGGCAGCACACAAAACCCTCCAGTCTGCAGAAAAACCTCTCTCCACAGAACCGATCCCTGGTGCCCAAAAGGTTGGGGACCTCTGTCCTAGAGGCACACATGCAGGTTGGTAGTTAACAAAATGCAAGGAAAAAGAGCCATGGTGGTATACTGACTAGAATGCAGTACTGCAAGCTAATTCTGCTGATTGTCAACTGCCAGCAGTTTGGCAGTTCAATCTTCACGAGTCCTCACCTTCCATCCTTCCGAGGTTGGTAAAATGAGGACCCAGATTGTTGGGGGCAATATGCTGTCTCTGTAAACCACTTAGAGAGGGCTGTAAAGCACTGTGGAGTGGTATATAACTCTAAGTGCTATTGCTATTGCTAAAATACCTTAAAAGGCATTTACATCTAGGAAGCAGAGTTATTTATTTACCTGTCTTGTATATGATATTGCATATTCAAATCATTAATAACAAATGGATTCCTGAGTTTAGAATAGGCAACTGCTTTGTCCAATGGAAATCCTAAAGAAAATGTAGCAAAGAAAATATATATTTAATCTTTTACATAGTTCTTAAATGCATAAGAATTACAATTTATACTTTCATAATTGATTTATTTTAGATAAGTTTAGAAATTATTTTAAATTCCCTCATCTATATAATTACTCAGATTAGTTTCATCCATCCCATTTTAAAACTTTCCTCTATTTTATTTACCCCATTTTGTTCAACTGAAACATCAGGTATCCTATATCAGTAAACTATCAATTTAAATATAACAGTAAATCAGCAACCTAGTATCTTAACATTTTTTTTAAAGTCAAGGAGAAAATAACATTACAATAATTTAAAGTATGTTTCACTGAATTGGACCTATTTCTGACAAAACATTAATGCGATTAAGCATTCATTAGAATTCCAACATTTTTAAATAGCAAAACAAAAAAATGGGAAAATTGAGAACAGAAGAAAAATTAATTTAAATCAATTTAAAGGCTCAAAGGGTTTTGTTATATACATGCTTCCATGTACTATTTACTGCCTTCCAAAATTAGCATTAGCATAATTTGACATAAATTGTTTCCAATGTTAACACTGGAAGTTTTTAACCAATACTGGAAATTTTTAAGAAGAAACTGGACAGCCATTTGTCCGAAATGGTATAGGGTTACCTGCCTGAGCAGGGGGTTGGACTTGATGACCTCCAAGGTCCCTTCCAACTTTTATTATATTATTATTATTATTATTATTATTATTATTATTATTATTATTATTATTATTGATCATTGCACAGTCAGCCAGATGTTCAGACTGGATTTGGCATTTTTGTCTACCTATCGAGTCCTTACCCAGGACCTGGGATAGGCAGATGTGGATGTTTGATGGTATTACAGATATTGTCGCAGGATGGAAGCAGTTCCTAGTAAGGCTGCCTTTTGCAATTGACTAATAGCAAATTTGTCAATGCCAATAGTGTTCAAGTGGTGCTCCAGTTGTTTTGGGATTGCACCCAAGGAGCCTATCACTATTGGTACTACCCTTGCTTGCTTTTGCCACAGTCTTTCTATTTCTATTTGTAGGTCTTTGTATTTTGTTATCTTCTTGAAGATAACAAAATACAAAGACCTACAAATAGAAATAGAAAGACGGTGGCAAAAGCAAGCAAGGGTAGTACCAATAGTGATAGGCTCCTTGGGTGCAATCCCAAAACAACTGGAGCACCACTTGAACACCATTGGCATTGACAAATTCGCTATTAGTCCATTGCAAAATATTATTATTATTATTATTATTATTATTATTATTATTATGTATTTTAAACTGTTGTGTAAAGTGGACTGATGACATTTTTCTGTAATAATATCAATCTGTCAGTGCTGTATTTATTTTGAAACTCTGGACTCCATCTATTCTTACATACCACTAAATAATTCCAATACATTATTCTTTAAATACAGTTCAATGTAAGACAGATTTTAATAACACCATTCAATATTATTAAAAATTCTCTAAATTGTAGCCGAACTTTTCATAGTTCTGAAATTTTTACACTGTTCCAAATAAAGAGCAATCACCTTTAGAATGAAAAGAAATGAGACAATCACATAAAGGCCAGTTTTCTACCGCTTCATTCAAAACGACATCTTCTTCAAATATCACCACTGTGATATATTTAAACATGGAAAGCCGTTCAAGGATTTCATTCATTGGTTTTGATTTTGATTTTTTTGCCATAGAACATATTCCAACCATGATCTGTCTTTCTGGTGGCTAAGAAAAATAATAATTATTAAGGGAATGTTTCTATTCTTGTTTGATAAATGATTTTCATGATTATATTATCAAGTTAATGGGTTTATTAAAAATAAGAGTTGGAAATTAGTGTTTAATTTTGCATATGGTATACAGTAAAAAATAGCGTAAAGAAAAAACTTTATGATGCGTAGAGAAAAAAAAACAATTATGCCCCTTTCACAATATTTTTTTAAAAAATGTTATATAAATTTGAAGTTACCATCTGAGAGTGAAAACATCTTCCAGTGCACTAGGTTATAAAATTATAGAAAGCACAATCTGTAGAACCACCCTAAATTTTAATGGGACTTCTAATGAGTTATAATACAATTATGGTGAGAAGCATTGTTGAACTGTACATAGTTTGTATTTAGATGGTATTTGCACTGCTCAACTCCACAAATGGAAGAGAAATTTCTGAACTATTTTCAACAGAAAAGAAACTATTTTCTATGCAAAGTATGAATAATTTTTTGATACTATAGGAATGAGGGATTAATGTCAGATACTAGATTTTACTTTTAACCAAAAGTCCATTTAAAAAAAAATCTTAATTTTAGAAAGTCTTCCAAACTCTGATACATAAGTTACTTGTAGCAAAACACTAAAATCCCTAGATGACCCCAGATAATGAAGTTTAAAGACAAAACTATGGACAACTATATAAATGCTTTAAATAATAAAAATAAAATACACAGTACATACAGAATCATACTCTTCATCATCATCCTCAGGATCGTAGAAGGAGACAAAATCGGAAGATCTGGAACAATCCAAAAGTTCTTCCCCATCTTCACCGCCCACAAAAAATCTAGGAATGTCACTCTCTGTGGCATTAACAGACATTATTATAACTACATAGAAACTGTAGTTACTCGGAGTACTCAGGCACTGCACATAATTCTCAATGCCTGGAATAGTAAAAATCCTTGCAGTGTGGATTGCAGTTGCTTACGTAGTTGTTTGCTGTCTGACAGTTAGCTGCCAAATGTAGTTTAACTGATATCATCTGCCCATTGTTTTCATTTGTTACATTGGTGAAAAAGAATCTTACAGATTATTTCCCTGAGACAAAGCAGCAACTTTCTATCCTAGAAAGGAAAGGAAAAAAAGAGAAGGGAAGGGGAGAGGAAGGGAGGGGAGAGGGGGGGGAGGGACGGAGAGAAAGAGAGAAAGTTATTCAACATATTTCATTACCAAGACACAGCTGAAATAAGCTTTTGAAAATATTTGCATTATTACAATGCCAAAAGCTATTCTGTATGTTATAAAAAAAGTACTACATGTGGAAAATAACCATGTAAGGGAAGACTGGGTTTATGTATCATACTACACCAAACTGTAATTTGTTTAGTTTCACTAATTATGATATGCTAATTCAGACATAGTGCTTTATAAACCATGATTTGGCACTTACCCTTATGTTAAACAGGTTGATCTGGGTTTTGTTTTTCAAGCCATATTTAAAGTAAATCCTGGCAGTGTGGGGTGAACAACCTATGGTTCCTGTTTGAACAGGACAAATATATGCTGCACAGAGTACTACGTAGTTTTTTTGGTATTTTTTTCTGCCTCCCAATATCTGCCCAAATTTTTGCAATCCATTTCTAATGGCCTTACTAAATAAAATGAGGAATTAATAAACTATATTATCATTACAAAGTAATCCTGATAAATAATAAATACCTTGGAAGTTTAAATAATGAAGCAATGGCTTAAATAGTTTAGATACATAATCAAAGACAAAAATAATTGGAGAAGATCCTACTACTTGGAAAAATTGTAGGCAAGCAAAAAAGGAGGCAGACAGAAGACAAGGTCACTAGATGATGTCATTGTTGACACATGCAAGAGCTTACAAGAACTCAAAGAAGTTACTGACAGAAAAGCCTGGTGAAAAGGTGACATACAGCAAAGAATCAGAAGTGACTGGATGAACAATAAGTAAAAAGAAATATGGGAATGGAAAAATGAAAGCAATGCACAAAATTAATTTCCAAACCAGTTTTCCAAGTAACAGAAAGACTTTTTCTCAAATTCTCAAAACAGAATAAGGATATAATTATTTTTCTTACACTTTTTAATTTCATTCATCTAGTATACCTTCCAGGTTTTAACTCACAACTCTGAATGGATGAGAGTACCAGAATATATTAGCAAGCATGGCAAACATATTAAGAAGATATAGATCAAATGTATAAAATGCAAAAACAACTAATTAAACAAGAAAATAAAAGGAGCAAAGTAAGCTACCACATTATCCAATGTGCCAACATATTTAAATACTCACTGCTCTTAGGCTTAATATTATAGTTTCAGTTTTAGTATTATTTTAGTGCCTAGAAAGCTTCTTTAGCATCATACAAAATCTATAGTCCAAACAAAATATAAAATGCATCCACAGAACAAAGAACTGAAGACTGTATTACAGTCATGTATTACAAATGCTTCCAAGTGTTAAGTATAAAAGTATGAAATCTAGTGACCTATATTTTTATAAAGTATTAATAATTTATTTTTTTCATCTCTAGTACATTTTCCTATCACCTTTGAAAGTCCATTGTTGGAAAACTGAGCCCATAGTCAGTATCAAGCACTTAGCCTAACCCCAAGAAGGATGACATCAACAAGCTCTAAGGGCAGTATTTATTACCTCACTGTTAATATCTAACCAACAAGAAGCAGCATTGCAAGAAAAATGTTTATAATAATCAGATGACATATAAGGTAATATTTTGCATTTGCATCAATTGAATATCTGTGGCCATTATATATTGTCCATATCAACAGCGGAAAGCAATATATGCTATATTTCGATTTCCAACATAAATCATTCCAAGTTTACCATAACATTCATCTGCTAGATTGCATGCAGACAAAAATTAAAATATAAAAACAATGCCTTCATTTTCAAAAAATTTGGAGATCCAATGAAATTCCATGTTTACATTCTCTGTTTTTCATACAGCTCTACGTTTACACTCCAGATTCCTACAGTGTTAGTAAGATGTTCGATATTCACTATCTCCTGCCCTCTCCTGCTTCGATGGGGGGGGGGGTTGGACTAGATGACCTACAAGGCTCTTTCCAACACTATTATTCTAATTCTAATTTCTCGCCAGGCAAGCAGATGGAGGGTTCTCATACTACGCTCCCTAGTGGCCAATGGCAGAGGGGTTCGGGTTCATTTACTATTCAGGACTCCTAACAGACAGGAAGGAGGAATCAGTATCTGTCTCACTACCAGCAGCTGTTGTCTATCAGCAAGGGAAAAGATAAGTCTCCAAAATAGTGTTATAAACTATTACACTAGTTAAATAAATAAAAGTTCACAAGACAGCAATACTAGGCTCAGAATCCATGATGCTCATCCTTTCCAATCATAATATAGGGCTGTATGATTTTGACATTATAAATTAAATTATGTTTTTCACTATGGAATTTGGGGTATATTAAATAACCAGCACTGTTTCTAGGAAAAATGGCTCTTGGATTTCTGAACAAAAATCTAGAACAGTGGTGGCAAACCTATGGCACGGGTGCCAGAGGCGACACTCAGAGCACTCTCTGTGGGCCGCACATCGTGACCCCAGCCCTGCCATCCCCCATGGCCCCCTCACCAGCAGCCCCCCCAGAGAAAAGTCACCCTGGGCGCAGCCTGCGTGGAGCAGCGCAGCAAAGGACATGACAGCCGGGCAGCGGGGACAAGACTCCGCCCTTGTGCCTCATCACGTACAGATGATGTTGAGGGGTGTGGACAGAGGGCATGGCCACCATGATGCTGCTGGGCCACCTGGGCGATCTGCTGTGGCAGACTGTGGGTGGCCCTGTGGGCAAGAGAGGCAGGGGCAAGGCGGTTTTTGGGCACTTGGTCTCTAAAAAGTTCGCCATCGCTGATCTAGAATATACTCATCTATTTAATTCAATAAGCAACATGCTTTTTTCTCTTCACATAAAACTGTCATCTCTCCCTCTTTTTTCACATTCTTTCACTCACTCAGTTCCACACACATATAACCTTCTTAGTTGATCCTTACTCTCCAACTTCAGAAGAACCCCCCCCCATTACTAAATGGGACCACAAATCTCTTTGTTGCCAATCTAATGGTTGTCTATAAAGTCCTGCAGATATCCAGTCTTTGCCTCCAAGTCATCTCTCATCCAAGAGGTCACCCTCTTCAGGAGCCATTATTTACATCTGCTGCTAGAACAGGGGTTCTCAACCGTGGCAACTTTAAGACTTGTGGACTTTCAACTCCCAGAATTCCTCAGCCAGCAAAGCTGGGAATTCTGGGAGTTGAAGTCCACAAGTCTTAAAGTTGCCAAGGTGGAGAACCCCTGTGCTAGAATAACCTGCCTTGTTTCTCTTTCAATGCTTAACTCACAATTTCTCAACCCTAGCAACTTTTAACATGTATGGACTTCAATTCCCAGAATTCCACTGAAAGACTATTGTGATTTTTGTTATTATACATAACACTGCAGAAAATATTTTAAGTGTAGCTAGAAAGATATAGTATTTCTCACAATGAAAAAAATGGATGGGGAAAAATTGAGAAGATTTTATTCTGTTTATTCTGTTTCCATTGGGAAATTACTTCTGAGTTTTATGCTCAAAACAGGAAAAGAAGGAATTTAGACTTTGAAGACTGGATAATTGTGTTGTTATAGAAATCATTTGTAATAACTAATTATTACAATTATGCAAAATGTTGAGGCTGTAAATGTACTTAGTATTCACTGTGCTGAAAAGAGTGGAAAGTCAATGTTTCTCTCTTTTTTTACCACCCCCCGTCCCTCCCCTTTCTAAATCTTAATTTTCATTGTATTTTGTACTATAATAAACCTTAACATTTGGAAGAGAGAAATACTCCTCTAGCTTGATGCATTTAGGGAAGAATGGCGTGGTATGCAGTTTTTAGCTCAGCCAGGAATATAGCAGGTACAACACAAAAGATTGGCAGAGCAATATGCCAAAGGGAGTGTGATCTGGGTAGAGTATTTGCTCAAGCAACTATTCCACTTTCCTGGGGCTGTGTGCAGCTGCATGTACTGTTGACTATGCATAGTAATAGTAGTAATAGTAATAATAATGATAATGATTGATAACAACAACAACAACAATAATAATGGAAGGGACCTTGGAGGTCATCTAATCCAACCCCCTGCTCAGGCAGGAAACCCTATACCATTTCAGACAAATGGCTGTCCAGTCTCTTCTTAAAAACTTCTAGTATTGGAGCATTCACAGCTTCTGGAGGTAGGTTGTTCCACTGATTAATTGTTCTGTCAAGAAATTTCTCCTTAATTCTAGGTTGTTTCTCTCTTTGGTTAGTTTCCATCCATTGCTTCTTGTCTTGCCTTCTGGTGCTTTGGAGAATAGCTTGCTTCCCTCTTCTTTGTGGCAACCCAAGATATTGGAACACTGCTATCATGTCACCTCTCGTCCTTCTCTTCGTTAAACTAGAAATACCCAATTCCAGCAACCGTTCCTTATGTGTTTTTGCCTTCAGTCCCCTAATCATCTTTGTTGCTCTTCTCTGTACTCTTTCTAGAGTCTCAACATCTTTTTTACATCATGGTGACCAAAACTGGATGCAGTATTCCAAGTGTGGCCTTACCAAGGCATTGTAAAGTGGTATTAACACTTCACGTGATCTTGATTCTATCCCTCTTTTAATGCAGCCTAGCACTGTGTTGGCTTTTTTGGCAGCTGCAGCACACTGCTGGCTCATATTTAGGTGATTGTCCACTAGGACTCCAAGATCCCTCTCAGTTACTACTATTGAACAAGGTATCATCTATACTATACCTGTGCATTCAGTTTTTCTTGCCTAAACGTAGAACCATACTTTTTTCACCATTGAATTTCATTTTGTTAGATAGCGCCCAATGTTCAAATCTGTCAAGACCCCTTTATGTCTTAAGCCTATCTTCTAGAGTGTTGGCTATTCCTGCCAGCTTGGTGTCGTCTGCAAATTTGATGAGTTCCCCATCTATCCCCTCGTCCAAATCATTGATGAAGATGTTGAAGAGCACTGGGCCCAGAACAGAGCCCTGGGGCACCCCTCTACACACTTCCCTCCATGTA